TTATTGAACCAATGAATGCATATGGGCCTTTTTAAAAATATGTCCATTTTTGACAACTGGAAAATAATAAAAATGTTGAAAATTAAGTGATTTAATTGTACAAGTCAATACTTTAACACCAGTACAAACTAAATACAAAATATGCAAGCTTAAACTGAACGGAAAGTTTGAAAACAACTATGTAAAATTGAACATGGTGTACCAAGATGTCCCCTTCGTAACGATTTTTTAAGGCTCTACCATACTTGAAAAATAGAATTTAAAGGTATTTTTTCTTCAAAAATCTGACAAAATAAATGATTTATACGGTTTAACTATTTGCTTCGCAATTTTAACTTCTAGACAATATTACAAATGCCCACGGTGTAACGATATATGTTTCCTATAAAGTTTATTCGCGTGCGACAAGAATATGTCCACGCCCCTGCATTGTCAATCACTTACAACTCTTAAAGTGAACTGTAAATGTTTTGTGTCATATCCCTATCTATGAACTTTTTCCCAATGTCGTGCAACAAAAATGTATATTTTTTCATTGTCGAAAAATCTGCACATACTTGTAGTGAAATTGTCCTGTAAAATGATGGCTGGGGGACTCAAAGCTGTTTGGTTTTTATTGGTGGATTTGGCCAAACGGATTTGAATCGATAGAAAGAATATTATATTGCAAACTCGGTTTACTCTTTGCTTGATGGCTTATTTAACGTTTGTCTTGAATACTATCGATCGACCAATTCTACAATCCAAATTCAACTTAAACATGGGCAATTTTCTCATTCTTATCATTTCAATTTTAATCGTTAAAATTTAAATGTTATTGGCATATGATATGGACAAAAAGGGAAATTATTGCCAAATTACTTAAGAAAAAATCCACTTGGTTGACACAACTTTCGGTAATGAATCCAATGACTGAGTGGGACAAGTTCAGAGGAAATAGTCCTGCACCGTTTAATATGTAAGCAAATAAAATATGTTTAAACTAACCGTTTAATAATAAAACTCCGTGTCAAAAACTAGAATCGCCATGATGAAATTCAAATTTTCACTGATTTTTTTTACTCACATTGTGATCAATTCTAGGTAGTACGGCGGACAGGTGGATGTGGTCTCGGTCGGTACATAAAATATCGATGTAACGTTAGATTGATTCTAGGTAGTACGGCGGGCAGGTGGATGTGGTGTCGGTCGGCACATAAAATATCGATTTAACGTTAGATCAATTCTAGGTAGTACGGCGGGCAGGTGGATGGGGTGTCGGTCGGCACATAAAATATCGATGTAACGTTAGATCAATTCTAGGTAGTACGGCGGGCAGGTGGATGTGGTGTCGATCGGCACATAAAATATTGATGTAACGTTAGATCAATTCTAGGTAGTACGGCGGGCAGGTGGATAGGGTGTCGGTCGGCACATAAAATATCGATGTAACGTTAGATTTCGACGATTAGTCCGGCTTTGCTGTAGTTTGGCCGTCTCTTGTTTTAAAAGAATTGATAAAAGACGTAATTATGATAAGTGATCATTGCTAATTTTCGTGAAATTTAAAGAAAATACATGTTTTCAAACATTTGTATTTATGATTAATAATGAATATTTTTAGTTTTTTGCAGGTGAGCGTTGTTCAACATAGAGATTAATTTGAAAGAATGTGTACATGTGGCACATTTCTTCATCTTTTTTTTTTCAATTGGACGCCCTTTCCATACTGTCGCTATTTATTGACTCGTCCTGAACATGCATGAAATATTTGCCACTGGATGTTAAGCAACTAACAATCAAACTATATAGTAAGTTCCCAACAATGATATTGTACAGTATGACGTCACTGAGTGGAAGTAATATTACAGGCTGGCTCCTCCCCTTAAATATCTTTTGATCTGTAGAACAGATATTTACAAAGGCAAACATATGGAACCATGACACATTAGCCTTTCTTTTAATGACTTAAAATATTAAACAATAGTCGCCCTTTGATAATTGCGACAACAAGAGGACTTAAAATACTAAACAATATCCTTTCTTTTAGTAATTGCCACTTTGTCACCAACTCAAAAGGAATTAGTAATATCAAACTTTAATTATCTCCAGATATCTGAAAATTTCTATTTTTATGCTTAAAGTTTTTAAGCTCTGGAACAAATTGTCTTAAAGGGGCACTAGCTACGAGATATATAAAAAATGCAAATATGATTTTTTTTCTTGTTCAATCATTTATGAAAGTGAAACAGTGAAATACTAATTCGCTTTTAGCAGCCAGTATGGTTCTATTTTGTCAAAATAACCAAAGAAACATCGATGATGAATTATTTACTTGCAAGTGAATAATTCGACCTCATTGAATCCGTATTCATGTGACCTTCAATTTAACCCCTTAGCTAGAGATGGATTTCGCATGAATTATGCGTGTACAGTTATTAAAAGGAAAAGAATGTCAACATTGAAAGTGAAACAAAGGTAAATCATTTGATTGATTGAATCGATCCACAAAAACTCATTCTTATACAGGTAAAAACGATGATTAACATATATTTCTAACCTATAATATGAAATTAAACAGACCTAGAAAAATCCAATTGCACGAGTTCGCTATCTATTTATATCTATATTTATGTTTATAGTGCTTATATGACCGTCGGCAGTATTCGGAGGTCAACTCGATAGTTAATTAGATGGCGTCTAGAATAAAATACACACGAAACGATGATACATGCATTGTAAATTGTTTATTTAAGACTTTTTATAATTTGGATATACGTTTTAGTATGTTATAAATCAAATATGAGAATTTGAGTCAAATCGGTGATCATGAATTTGACAGCCAATGCCCCTTTAAGATCACCAGATTTAAGAAAGTAAGCTTTACCATGTATACCTATCACGGAATCAATAAGTCAATTATATTTAGTAGGGGTTCGTGATTGACCATATACATGTATCGAGAAATGTGCCAAATTTTGTTGTTTTCTTACCTTATACAATTTCCAGTTAAAATAGGCAACACCATAGCAAAAAAGAAAAATGTCGAAAAGACAAAAAAAGTGATATCTTTTTGCTATTTGATACCATATAAATTTCCTTATATGTCTGTAAGTAGCAACCCTTAATGAAGGAACTCATGATTGGAAAAGTAAGCCCTAGAAAATGTGAAATCCCTACCTATACATATATTTCACAACGAAATTATAACCCATTCATATATTCAATAAGTGCAAAAGGTTCGGTATGTGACCTTTTTTTTTACTATACTCTAGTGGGTAAAGATTATTAATTGTGACAGTGTAATAAAATTTGATCAATGTCAATAAGTTTCAGCCGATGTGGAAATTTTAATGACAAAACGTTTGGGAAATTCAGTGAAGATCGTAACGTTGCACAACTAACTGAAAAATTATGACCCATTGATATATCACAATTGGTCAATTACTACCTATTGATATATTTCCTCGGTAAAATTGCACCCAATTGATATATTTGACGTATCAAAAAACGGATCAATTCCAGCGGCACATATGTATATATATTTATATAAGAAGAGAACCCCCCCCACACACACACCCCGTGAGCTTTTATGGATCTGCCAAACAGCTAGAAATTGTTTTGCATTTACTGTTGGTTTTTCCTTCAGTGATCAATTGTCATCAACTTTTAACTTGTTGATGTTGATGTTGATTGTTTTTTGGTTTATATTGTTGAATAAAAAATATTAACCAAATTTCAAATTACAATTGTTTGTTGTTTATATTTTTCTTGCAAAGGAATGAAACAAAACAAATCTGTAGTATATCTATTGCGAACATTGAAAATGCAATAAATGAATTGTAAATGCAAAACTTAAAAATTAAGTGTTTGATAGTCTCTAAACCGAGGATATTTGTGTTTTAGGTCTTTGGTCAACAGAAAAGAAAATGGGATCAAGATCAAAGGTCAAGATTATGTTGTAATTTTTATTTTTGCTTGTTATTACTTCACTTCAGATACGATAAGAAATATCCACATGAAATGTGTACTGTTATTTGGGACATGTCGTAACTCAGTAACTGCATGACGTCATTTTGGTGTAAAGGTAACGGTGTCATTAAAGAAGGGTATATTCCCCTTGGAAAGGCTTATATATAATATTCAAAATGATAGAACTTATTTACCATAAACAGTACAGAGATAGGTTTTTTTAATTTGAGGTCCTTGCTAAATGGCCTTCAAAGGTGAATTTGACGGTCTACAATTTGACCTTTGCTATAACTTCATATTGCTACATGATAAACCCACTCATTCTTTTGCATTTGTAGGTTTGAAGACATACGAGCTAAAAGGGCCAACCGGCAATGACCTAATGCAAACTGGATAACCGTGTGCACTAAATCAAAAGTACCAGAAATATCTCCAATAGTATATCCAAATCGTATATTTTTGGAATCATTGTAACTTCAGCGATTATTGATTCCGGAAATTGTTTTTAGTTCCCTTATTTCATGAAAAATGTCCATAAACTTTGTATTTTTGGAGTCAGTGTGAGATATAAACAATGTTTTTACACCACAGCCCCTATTTATCATTCTTATTTTCTTCTGAAAAGTTACTTTGGTTTAGATTGAAAGACCTGTAATTGTGCTCTAAGCAACTAGTTTAAATAGGAATTCGTGGTGAGATCCGTTCGCTCAGATCTTAATTGGTAAGGATTTCTGTGTTCCTGCCGATTGTCGGTATTTTTCTCCGGTGTGAAACATAGTTTGTCTCACACTGACTCTCAAATTACAAAGTGTATGGACATTTTTCATAAAAAAGGGAAATAATAAGTAAATATTACCGCAGGATTAATTTTGGAGACTTTTAAAATAGAGAATAAAATAAATGTTGAAGTATCTTTGTATGCTTCATATTGAAAAAGAAGCTTTTTCCTAGTTATGTGTTGACAACAAATGTTTTAATACAATAAAACATCAACTAGGGACGACGATCACCTAACACATATAGTATCATCATAAAATATATACAAATCATTACTTTGCTTAATCTTTTATTTACAAAATCAAGTCGGTGGTCTATTTTCATTTAGTTTTGCAGCCATGTAAGCAAAAAACATCCAAGTCAACTTTATTATGTAATAGGTATAAGATTATCGAGTCTATGATTGGTCCTTCCAGATCTGGCGTAGACCTCACTTACGAACTTGTTGTGGTACACTACCCTTTAGGATCTCGCGTAGACCTCGCTTACTAAATACATTACCTACAATATAAATAAAATTAACACATAGGTATTCCTTGTTCATTTAGTAGAGCGAGCTGATCCAAATACACCATGCATACTTAAAATAATACAATAGCAAGTTCAAAAGTGGTAAGTCGCGTTTTTTTTTTTTTTAATTTTTTTTTTTCTTTTTTCTTTTGATTTCTTTTTTTCTTCAATTTTTCTTCCCTTTTCGGGGGATGGGGAAGGGGGTATTGTAAAAAGGAAAATCTCGCCACAATCTGCCAGTGATGCTATAAACAATGATATTGAGATATAAAAGTAAGAAGATGTGGTATGAATGCCAATGAGACAACTCTCCACAAGAGACCAAATAACACAGAAATTAATAACTATAGGTCACCGTACGGCCTTCAACAATGAGCAAAGCCCATAGTCAGCATAAAAGGCCCCGAAGTGACAAATGTAAAACAATTCAAAGAAGAAAACTAACGGCCTAATTTATGTACAAAATAATGAACTAAAAACAAGCATGTTACACAGCATCAAACGACAACCACTGAATTATAGGCTTGCTTGGGACGGGCACATACAGAATGTGGCGGTATTGAACTAGTTAGACGGCGCCGAACATTCCCCCTAGATACTGTATATTTAGCATTGAATAGCTGATGCAATAATGATAAGGAATTGCATATACCTATGCATGTTATAGACAATATACTGTTTTTCTAGCATTGAATAGCTCGTGTAAGAATAATAAAGAACTACACATACCTGGTATAGACAAGACATTTTTTTATCTAGCATGGAAAAGCTCGTGCAATAATAATAATGAATTACACATACCTGGTATAGACATTTTTGTTTCTAGCATGGAATAGCTCGTGCAATAATAATAATGAATTACACATACCTGGTATAAACAATAGTTTTTTATCTAGCATGGAATAGCTCGTGCAATAATAATAAAGGATTACACAAACCTGGTATAGACAATATTTTTTTTTTATCTAGCATGGAATAGCTCGTGCAATAATAATAAAGATTTACACATACCTGGTATAGACAATACACTGTTTATCTAACATTGCATAGCTCGTGCAATAATAATAATGGATTACAAAGACATGTTATAGAAAATATACTGTTTATCTATATAGATAAGAAGATGTGGTATGAGTGTCAATGAGACAACTCTCCATCCAAGACACAATGTAAACGCATTATGTTAACAATTATAGGTCAAAGTACGGCCTTTAAAACGGAGTCTTGGCTCACACCGAATAGCAATCTATAAAGGGCCAAAAAATGACAAGTGTAAAACAATTCAAACAGAAAAACCAAAGGTCTAATCTATATAAAAAAAAGACAACCACTGAACAACAGGCTCCTGAATTAGGACAGGTGCATAAAAATGCAGCGTAGCATTGAATAATTCGTGAAATAATAATAATGTATTACACATACCTGGTATAGACAATACACTGTTTATCTAACATTGCATAGCTCGTGCAATAATAATAATGAATTACACCTACCAATACATTCTATTTCACAGTCCATTAACGTTTCAAAGTTGTTGGCATTACCCTGGCACCCACCATAGACAAACTTTTCACATTTTCCAGATCTCTTGTTGAAGTAATATTTATTAAAGTATCCATAGCAGGGACCGGAACTTGCTGGCAACCAACAAACATTCCGTTCAAGTCCTAAATCTATAATTATATTAAAATAAACATTATTTTATCTTGCCCACATAAGGAATATTGGTGAAATACATATAGTAGATGGTATTTGAGATCTGCTACATGCCTTATATTTATAATTATATTTAATATACATTGATTAATCTTGCCATTGTCGGGAACTTTAGTAAAATGCGTATATTGTAGATGGTATTCGAAGTTAGCTACATGTAAAATTTACTCGTTTTTTTTGTAGACATCATTTGGGAATGTAAATTCTTAAAAAAGGAAATTCTATTTTTTTTTCTTCATTCATGGCCGTTTAGTTTACCATTATTTTATTATAGATAAACAAAACGATTAGACCAAAGTTATTCCAACTCGAATTAGTCCTATTTTTAAATTCTGTTAATTGTGTGCGTACATATGCTAAAACTATATTTATTAAACAATTGGAAACAACTTGAGAGCGATTAAGACCTTGACATGTGGTATAGACACTTGTCGACTCGAGCGACTTAGACCTTTACGTGTTGTATAAGAGGCATGTAATATAGCCATTTGTCGACTCGAGCGACTTAGACCTTGACAAGTGATATAGACACTTATCGACTCGAGAGACTAAAACCTTGACATGTGGTATAAACACGTGTTGATTTGATTTACTTAAACATTGACACATGGTAGACACTTTTAAATGTTGAACACGTTTATATTGACGTCCAGACGCTTTACGTATTATCCATGTGTAATATTTTTACGTATTTCCTTTATGTCATATCTTTATGTATTTCCAAGTTGTTATGTATGTACGTATATATTTCCTATGTGTCATGTGTGTTGTTACATTTTTATGTCATTGACGTCTTTTTTTTTATAAATCTTTGTTTACGTACACCAATACCTATACTATAAGTCTTTGTAAACGTACACCAATACATTTTTTAATCATTGTATACGTACACCAATACATGAACCATAAATTTTTATATACGTTCATAAATACAAGTACCCTACAATGTATTCCGCCTAAATAATAATCTACTTACCTAATGGTTCCGAAGAAACCTGAAATATAATCATATAATTGATCATAAAAACTTAATATGTGTACATGTACGTACAAAATTATTAAATATTATACTTTTGATTATTTGATTCTTTTTTTTTTAATTATTTAACATTATTTCAAATCAATTAATATCATTTCATACAACGTTTGATAGCCAGTGAGAATTTAAAACTGGTACTAATCCTAGTCAATTAAAATTGGGAGTTGATGAATTTAGCGGCTTTGCTAGCTACATGTTCAGTAGTCAAAATTTATGTAGCCCTACGTAGCAGCTACGATATTGAACGCAACCCAGCTATAGGTAACAGTACGGCCTTCAACAATGAGCAAACCCATAATTCATGATAAAATTGAGAATGGAAATGGGGAATATGTCAAAGAGTCAACAACCCGGCCAAAGAGCAGATAACAGACGAAGGCCACTAACGGGTCTTCAACGCAGCGAGAAAATCCCGCACCCGGAGGTGGTCCTCAGCTGGCCCCTAAATAAAAATGTGTACTAGTTCAGTGAAAATGGACGTCATACTAAACTCCAAAACATATAAATGAACTAAAATTAAAAAACATACAAGACTAACAAAGGCCAGAGGCTCCTGACTTGGGACAGGCGCAAAAATGCAGCGGAGTTAAACATGTTTTGTGAGATCTCAACCCTCCCCTATACCTCTAACCAATGTAGAATAAACAAACACACAGCGATACGCACAGTAAAACTCAGTTTAAAAGAAGTCCGAGTCCGATGACAGAATAGGTAACAAAAAAAACTAAGCAAAATGACAATGATACATACATTAACAAAGGACCTCTAGCAGTTACTGACATGCCAGCTCCAGACCTCAATTAAACTGATTGAGAGATTATGTCTTCATCATATGAAAATCAAGTACAATCCCTCCCGTTAGAGGTTTAGTATCATACCATCATAAAATATATGAGAAGAACATAACCCGTATCATGCCAACAACTGGTTTTAGAATAAATGTGTTTATTTCCGATGCAAAGACCCTATGAGTGAATCAATATTTATACCAAAATATGCAATCCTTAATGACTTGACAGCAGTATCGTAACTATATCCCTTCCGAATAAGTCTGTTTAAAGGTTTGGTTTGCTTTTGGGGTGAATAATAAGCTATAAAAGGCCCTGAAATGATATATCATTAGTAGAACAATCCAAAACGAGATTTATATACAAAACAATAAACGAAAAACAAATATGATATACAGTAACAAATGGTAACCACTGAAATACAGGTACAGGAGCCTTACTAGGAACAGGCACAAACATAAACGTGATGTATTCTTCTGACGTTTCAGTCTCGTTGAAATCTCGTTCGGGAATTATTTCTTAAACATGTGATACAAGTGGAAAATATCAATGAATTCAAAAAATATTATAATCAAACTAAACTATGTGAAAAAATTGTGTACTTACAATAAGTAGTTTTTGAGTAATACAACTTTCAATTTCTATAAGCAATTCGGTCAGTGTCATCAGCCAAAATGTTGAGAAAATGAGTGAAGTGTACAAAGAAATGATTTTACTAAAAATATGTACATCCCATATCAGTTTTTTCTTTTCAAAATTCTGAGATATGTATTTTTTCAATCATTCATAACAAAGAAGTTGATATAATATGCTTTTAGTTCTTAAAAGAAAAGAAAAATCTAAAATTTACAAAATTTACAGCATGGTCAATTTGACACGAAAAAGCAACAAAATGTTATAAAACTTTCTTATATTAACACCTACCTATAGTTTTTTTTAAGTTAAATTTATTCAGATTGCATGGTCCTCTTCATCATTAGGGAAAGTATGAAAAAAGTTTAATTGTGAAACTGTGATTTTTTTCATCGTAATAGCCCAAAAAAAGGTAAACATTGATGAAAAATGGGAAAATCATAAAAATGTGGTACTATCAAATGGCCGTAGCAAAAAAAGAAGTTTACCACCATATGATTTTTTCTTCGTCAATTACTTTCTTACTTTCTTATAAACCCAAAAAATCAGGTTAAGAAAAAAAGTTTAATTCTAGAAATTGTTCTCCTCAGAGGTGTACATCCTTAAACATGTTTACTGGCACCAAACCTTTCCCCTAGGACAGTGGTGTACAAAACAGTAACAGGACAAGCCATATTAGAAGCTCAATCAATAATTAAATAGTAAAAAAAACTAAATTATACTTGAAATTTCAAGCACATGCGTGTATAAAATAATATGATAAATATATGTAATTTAAAATATAGTACCTGGATTCCTATAAGTGAAAGTACGAGGAACGTAACACAGTGAAACATAGTTGTAGATAAGTATGATTTTACATATCGGAAAATGTCAATTTATATAGTGAGTGAAACATATGTTGTATTTAATGACGAGTAGTAAATGTCTGCCGAAGGATCATACAATATTATCGTTCAATGATCATTAATTGTTCCTATCGTTTAATCATTGTTCCTGATCGCTAATTAATATAATCATTGTTCCCTAAGGATGTTGAGTACTATATACGCTTACGATGGTCACACCTGTTTCAATATTTACAGCAAGGCTGTGGTCATTTTTCGGTTATTCATCTCCTGTATGATTTTATTTCGGATTCTCAAAACTTCTCAAATTTTACTATTTTTGCATTAATTACTGAAACCAAAATTGTCAACAACAAAAGATACGCACCACATCCATTGATTTCTTTGGGGTAAATATCTTTTATTGCTTATGACTTTTGAAATGTGTCCAAATGTTGCCACAAGTTCATGAAGTCATAAACATCAAATTCTGTGAAAATGAGAATGTCTCTTAAATTTAATTTTTGACATTTGAATACCAAAAAAAAATGAGTGAAAAATTTGTTAGAACTAAAGTCGTGTGTTTCTTTTCACCTGAAAACAACGAAATTTAATTTATAGTTTCTTAATCGAATTATAGTCTACAGACCAATTTAAAATTGACTTATCTCAGACTTTTTATTTTTGACTTTTAAGTGGCGTAGATTTATTGAGGCAATTACCTCACCCAAATTTTACCAATTAAAAAAAAAGAGAAAATAAACGGATTTAAAATATATAACGTGTATGTTATGATATAAAGTATAATCTGATGATAGTTCTTAACATTTGACGTCTCTGCCCTTTATACACTCATTCCTAAATTAAGTTAAAAACTAATTGGTACAACTTTGTTTCATGACCAAGTTAGATACACATTTCTTGTTTTAGGAACGGATAAATAAGTCTGTGTGATTCAAACAACGGTTCTGTACTGTAAAACTAACATGATGTTTGATTTGTCTTTTTTTGCTTTTAACAGACATTTGATATAATTATTGAAATCAAATGTGTTTCTCTTCCCACATACTTTTACCTTGGTTGATATGAGTGAGTCTTTATAGTTTAGCCAGTTATAATATATCCATGTATCTTGTAAACGTATAAAGTTACTGCTAGACATAGCAATTGATCTTAAACTTTTTTTTTAAATATCACCGAAAGTGTACAAAAGCATATTAGAGGTTTGATGATTCTGTCAATTAGTTTTGTTTGGATCAGGATATGTCTATATTTTAAAACCGAGAATTACATATGTTATCAGCAGTTCCGAGAATTACATATGTAATCAGCAGTTCCAGTCAAATGTATTGATTTAATTCCCATTGGAACATACTACAATTTCATGAAAAAAGTCCGGATTTTTCATGAACAAGAACTTGCGCCATTGTGTGGTCAACTTCAACCCCCTCGAAAACAATATGAGAGAGAAAAACTACGCAACAGTTAAAATTTTTAGTTAAAAATAGAAGCCATGATTTGAAATATCAAGAAACAGTTTAAGTGAAACTTATGTAAAGCCCTTAAGGCATAACAAATCCTCTTTGTGACACGAAGACTGCAAACATTACAATTATTGATAATCATAAATACATAGTTAATTTATTTTTATCCCGCATACGGTTAGGACTGGGATTAAAAATGTATGGGCACCTTAGTTTCTCCCGTGCAATAGAAAAAACCTTAACCGGTTCGTTTGGCATTGCGGGATGTAACGATACTCTATGTATTAACCAAAACATTTCCAGCAATACAACCCATGCCTAAAAGATTTGTCAGTTTGGCCGTGCGGGAATTTATGCAAAGCCACGTCCAGTCGAGATGCTGACGTTATAAATCTGTAAAGGGATAGTGCAAATTATGCTCGTTACATGTTACAGAACCATTGAAACGACTCTGACAAGGTTTCATAGAGCCCTTTTGCAAGACAATTGTTTTGTCCAAGTCTAACATGCTTGTCTTTTGCAGCTGCAATCGAAATTCGTGTTCTCATTCTGGGTAACCAACTCTGCATATTATTAACCTATCTACCGATTTAGAGTGAATTTGTTTTTGTCAAGAATGTGTACGAAATATTTGTCACTTTATTTTAAGCAAACGACCGATCAATCAAACCTGTACACACTTCGACTTATTACATTTGTAAATGCTGAAAACTATTTTGCGACGCCGGTTTGCAACTAATGGTCTATTTTTGTATCCGCATCAAAGTCTTTAATCTACACCGAGGCCTTGAATCTCGAGCCTTAACTCGTTTGCCTCACTAAATATAAGGGTCAAGCTACGCCCCTGCATTTGTGATTGAAATCTCTATTGTAATCACTAAAATGAAAAGTTTTCTGTAATTTCAAGGTATGTACTATAAATTCAGAAACTATCGAGATCGAGTTTTTATTAATGCGAATAATGCGACTGCATTAGTATCGCAATAACAAGAACTCGCATTCTTATATCTGATACATATAACTTTATGCAGATTTCCGCGAAATCGCAATAAATAATCTTGCATTTTATTCCATTCTATAAAATTCGCAATAATAAATGCACGCAATAATTTCTGAATTCACAGTACTTCAAATTTGTATCAAAATCAAGGAATTGTGAAACATGATTTTTTCCGTTATATAAATATCACGCGTTTCAACATGAAAGAAGTAACGACAAAACGACATACACAGGTTCACGTTGCATTACATAATTATTATTCTTATTGCTAATTCATGGAGAATGTATACAGACGCATTTTAATTATCAATGGTGTTAGATATATTGAACAGATTCATCTGTATATATGCATCCCTCATCCCCCCTTTTAAATTGGCTTCTCTGTCGGATAGTTACAGTTCAAATTTAACCAGGGGTTTGCTGTCCAACTTGTCGCTAGTACTAACGAGTCGTTAAAATTTCTCAATCCTTTGTTGACTAAACCTTATATTAAAAAAAACAACGTGGACATATTGGTTTCAGCGGTTTATTATCATTTCGCCTCCCCCATATTAACGGCTAATTTATGAAGAAAAATACTCTAATCTCGCTTTAGTACCAGAAAATGTATCCAGAGCACTATAATTATTCTCTAAGCTCTATTCCCAATTTCTATATTAAACCCATCCCGTCTCTTACACACCCACACCATTCAATCACTGGTTATAGAGTTAAGGATGTTTGCCACTTTGTTTCAAAATAACAAGCTTTTTAAAAGACTATTATAAATTGAAAGTTTATGAATAAAGGAACTAAAAAAGCAGAAAAAAATGAAGGGTCCGTGTGCTTGTTATCAAGATATAAACCATTGAAAATTTGGCGGGAAGTGATTCTCTCTAGATTTTTCATACATTTGATATTGGCAATTTTTTTCTTTTAAAAACTGAAAAATAACAAGGATTTAATAAAATTTTCAAATATGGCTTTTTGAACTATATGTAATAAAAATATGAATATATTTTGAGTGTGGTTACTGTTCAAAATCATATTCAATTTGATGACTTTAACTCGGTTTTTGTGTTAAGATGCAAACACAGATAATTTAATTTACAAAAACACGGTGCCCATTGAACTTAACAATTAAGTCAATCATTTACTAGTGTAACATAATAAATTCATTAAACAATAAACTGACTAGTCCATAATGGGCCATTAGAATGATGATTATATTAATTATAGAAAAACTTCATAAATGTAGAATTTAGTAACTTAAAGTTACTAGGACATCCAGCAAGATATGAAGAGAGAAAACTCCGTCATCCTCATACAACGGATTTGTGTTTTCTGTAATAAATAATCACCACACGTATGTGCTTGGATGATTCATACATTACAATTACAGTATCAAAATTTGATGTCATTATTTTCTCGATTTTGGACACTGTAATTAAACATTAATCTATTTCACAGAAAAACTACACAGCAGTGGCGGATCCAGAAATTTTCATAAGGGAGGTCCTACTGACTGCCCTAAGAGGGGGCCCGCTGCATTCATGCTTCAGTGATTCCCTATATAATCAAACAAATTTTTCCCACAAAAGGGGGGACCCGGACTCCCCCCCCCCCTGGATCCGCCTATGCACAGTGAACTTATTTTTAATAGATAAACCCCTATTCTCCTTTCCTCCGCTGCTTAACCAAGTTTTAACATATTATCACGCTCCCCTTTCCTCCGCTGCTTATCTAAGTTTTAACAATTCGTCGTGTTATTCATGTACGGGTAAAGTTTCAACGATGTGGACTATTGTTTGTGGTCTTTTGACATATGGTGTTAATTTGCCACAAACTAATTGAAATACGGATCAAGTGTCAATGCTCCGCTTCCTTAATATAAAAAAATGAGGAGATGTTGAATGATTTCCATTCAGACTTTAGATTTAAAATGAAGTGTACGCAGTAAGCAATTATAGGCCACCGCACGGCCTTCAGCAATGAGAAAAACCCATTACGTATAGTCGGCTAGAAAAGCCCCCCCCCCCCCCCCCCCCGACATGAAAAGTGTGAAACAATGTAAACGAGAAAACTAACGCCGGGCCTAATTCATAACAAAACAATTTACGATAAAAATATGACAGACATGAAGCAACGACAACCACTGTACTACATTATGCGCATGAATGGGACAGACACATAGGTGTAGCAAGTATATAAAAGTCAGTTTATAGAGGATTGATATAGGAAATTAACCCCGTGTCTTATTTACTATAGGAGTATAGTTTGACCTTACTTGGCCTTAAAAAATGAAAACTCTTTAAAAACACATGCGTCCGAAGCGCTTTTCTGCATTTAAATGCAAATCTTCATCTGTTAATATATGCAACTCATTATAAACATGATAGTTTATACATGTGGTAAGATTTGTTTAGAAAAAAACGATGATGACGCATGCATACATTAATTAACTGGATAAAATTGGGCGGGGTCAGTGATAAAATGATTTGATTTAATATGGAAAATCTAGATTACTTGTTTACTTTATTTCAACTAAAAATCCCGAGAACTCCCACATTCCACCGATCAAAGATCACTTGTATACTTCACCTTTTGCAACCTTACAAGTATAGTTGATATATCTATAAAAGAAAGACACATCTTTGTCAGGTAGGCTAACAGGTAGTCATTTAATTTTAATCAAATATAACCCTCCTGGGGTAGGTTATTACTACCTTTACTATACTACACACATCATGTAACATCACCACTCAGTATAAATATCAATGAATGTATGACGTACACTTACAGCTTAATTACTACGCGGTATAGGGTTTGCTCGGTTGTTGAAGTCCGTACGGTGACCTTTAGAGATGAGCCTCCTCATGGGGGTTTTTGATTATGTGATTACTTGGCCGTTTTTATAGTGATTATTTGATTACCAAACCAAATATTTCATGATTTTTTGATTATTTGATAATCTAGGACTGTTTTTTTGATTATTTGATTATCTTGTTTAAAAAAAATAATTAATGATTATGTGATTATATTGGCAAAAAATTTATGATTATGTGATTACTTGGACACCCCAAAGAGGGGCCTCAGAGATATACACAAGGAAACTTACTTAGATAGTCTAGTTTTTAAACTTCAATGAAAGTAGTCAATGTATAACTGGTAATTTTGAGAGACGAGAGATTTCGTTACCACAAATTAATTAAAACTATAACTAAACTCTTCATATATATAAAGATTTGGTTTGTAATTTAAACTGTACATGTATAATTCTTTTTAAAAACAGGATATCACACATCCTATTTATTTACGGTGATGTTGTTGATAGAGCCCATAAGTTTAGATACGATCCATGTAAACTCCGAGATCCTTTGAATGAACTTATTCTTAAAGGTTGTCCATTTAACACCGTATTAAAACATTAAAATATCCTTTTAACCGGTACTAACATTGATCTTGTTTTTGGAAAACTTAATACATAACTAAATATGTATAACTATACAATTGTGTACACTTAATATGATCCTGCATTCTGTCGATACTGTTTATTTATATTTTGGGGATGCACAAGCTCGTAGATGTCTCATTGGCAGTATACATCTCCTTATTTTTTATATTTATCATGTTTACATGTATCTGTATTAACAATCCTTTCTCACTGATACTTCTCGGGCTCTGGAACAATTTATACATAATTATTCCAAGTTTCATTCATACCTTTAAACAAAACATTGCAACACATGTTTCGATAGTGTCATACTATACATGCACTTAATTTAATTTTTAATTTTAGATGATTTTTGTTAAAGGAAGCTTTTGACCAAGATATGTATCATAAATATTGTTTATCATGACAGATTTCAAAGTACATATTTTGTAAAATATTGCCAAAACTTTTTAATCTGCTTAGATTTGAAAAATGTTCCTGTTTCCTGTATCGGGAATTTCATGATAAAATCTCAGTTTTTGACACAAAAATAGTATTTTCTGGTCATGATTTTTTTTCAATTTCCTTACACAATCATCATACATCAATTTCATAACTATTAACTTGGTAGACTTTTAATACATCAAATGTAATAACATCCAGGACACAAAAACACTCAAGAAGGCTTTTGGAAATTTTTATTGATGCCTTTTGTTCATAGATTGAGTAGCATATAAGCCACTACCCACCGAGTTAAAATAAATGCTTGTTTCGGGGATAAATATAAAGGCAAAATATTTCAAAAATAAACTGTATCAAATTTCCTTTTAAACATTATGTCAGTAGGAAAGGACCATGTAACCTGAATAGGGGGTGTTATTTTTTGTAATGTAAACGATGTCGAGGAAATAAACAATCAATACAATAAAGATACATAAATGTGTTAACGTGTTAAAAATGTGCAGTGTATGTTAAAAGACCTTAAAATATGGGGGTGGAGGGGGAAGGTTAATTAATAGAATCCATTTAATCGTTTATAACTCTTATAAACCAACAAAAATTTCTATGCTTAGATTGATTAGATGTAGATGTTCCTTGAATTCAGGAATATTACATTTTTTTGTGAATTTTTTATCCAAGTATTCTTTTCTTTCTGTTGTAAAAAAATGCATTTGAGGAGATAATGGTATTCATCACCAATATCGCCATCTCCACATAAAGGTCAGGTCCGATTTTCTCTTGGGATATTAGAACACCTCCCACATTCTATTGGCAGTTTATGATTTACCATTTTAAATTAACAGAATATTTATTATATGTAAACATATCTTTGTCGCTTAGTACATCGAAATACTTTTCGGTTGTAAACAATTCTTTAAACAGTAGTTAATTCAGAGTTTTTGCAGAGGTTTCTACACTTGAGACCCAAGTTTGAATAAATTGGTCTTCTAAAGTAGTTTTAACAATTCGCTTAAGCCAATTTACTTCAGAAAAAGATTGATATGTCCATATAAAGGAAAGTCCACGTTTGTTTAGGATGTTTTCAATGCTTGTAGCCAAGTTGATCGGAAATTTGTTTTGCCATTTGAGTCATTAATTTATAAGCAATTGAGCACAATTTTATCTTTTTCCGGTCTAACAATTTTGTCCAATATAACAGCATTCTTATTTTAATATCAATATGCAATGGATATCTGCCTAACTCGCCGTAAATCATATAGTTAGGTGTTAAAGACTTAACGTGGAGTATAAGTTTACAACATTTCAGATGAATTTTTTCAAGCATATCATTGTTACCAAATCTCCATATTTCAGAACCATATACTAGTAAGTAGAATCTGTTTTACAAGTTTGTCAAAAAGGTCCATTTGACATTTAACAGAGAGATTATGGCAACGCCCTTTTTTCAATAAAGAATACATGGCTTTGGTAGCATTTTCAGCAAGATGTAATTTACAATTCTTAAACTTTCCAGTTCTTGAAAAATATACACTTAGATAATTAAAATCCTTTACGATTTCTATATTTAAGTCATTGTAAAGAAGCTTTAAATTCCTTGGAAGTCGACCTTGTGAAAACCCATAACTTTGGTTTTGTTAACATTGACTCTTAATTTCCATTTAATACTATGATTTTTAAATTTCGTTATTTAAATGAGTCTTGTAGTTCAGTTGCTGACTCGGCCACAATGACATTGTCATCTGCATACACAATAACAAATAACTTCAGCAGTATATCAAATCTGTTCTCAATGTCACTGCTTAATGTTTTAAGCCAGTGTCATTTTATGTGCTCAGAAAATCTTCCATGTAATTTAAAAATAAAGAAAATAAAAGGGAGAAAGGTTTTCACCTTGTCGGACTCCTATAGCGCATGGAAATAATTCTGATTTCTTTCCATTATATTCAAGGCCAGATTTAATATTTTGATACATATTGGAGATGCATTTAAATATTTTCCCATTTATATTATTTAGAAGAATTTTATGCCAAAAGGCTTCTCGCGTCACAGTGTCGAAAGATTTCTCAAAATCAACAAAAGCGCACTAAAATACCTTTTTCTCGTACTTCAGGACTTCAAAAAAATGAATGTGAGCAAACATGCAATTAACAGTAGAATAACCTTCGCAAATCAAAATTTATTTTCTTTTATTAGAAGAAAGTGCTCTGAAAATTTATGAAGTCTTCTATTTAATATAGAATTGAATAGTTTTCTAAAGGAATTAACAATAGTGATTGGTCTATAGGTTTTTAGGATTATATTTATCGCCTTTATTATTATAGAATGGTTTGTTGGTCTCCATCAACCATGACTCTAGAATTTTCCTCGTTTCCAATATCAATAGAGGACTTTATATAATCATTTGCACACGCCTTGTTATTCTTTGAATCATGGACACATTTGTTGATCTCTTCTCTATACTTATTGGCATATTAAGTTCTTTATTTATGTTATCGAATATATTTTCGGTAACTGGGAATGTATGGTCGTTAGGCGTATTTTATTTGTGCGAGTTTAATTCTTTAAAGAAAGAAAACTATTCTTCAAAACAAATATCTGGTTGTTTGTAAATTTCTCGCTCATTAAGAATTTTCCAAAACTCTTTTGGACTGCTATTTCTCATTTGATCCATCTTTTTTTCTAAAGTCATTTCTGAATCTCTTTTGTGCTTTATTCAGAACCTTTTTTATAGTGCCTTTCTGTCATTTTTACAAGATTACATAAATTTTCGGACTCTCAGATTTTACAACGTTGGAATTTTCGGTAAACACTCCTAGCTGTTCTATACATTCTTTGTTGAACCAAGGTTTATTTTGCAAATTTGCGTGAGGCTTCACACTTTTAATTTCTTGGATTTAATGTTTTTGTACCAAATGCTTTTGTTGCGGAATCAGTGAAGATTACTGCTATTTTATTTGTAATCATGTCAATACAATTTTGATCATCCTAACCATTTGTTATTTTCTAACTCTAATAAAATACTATTTATTTGTTCAATATTGATGTTATCTTGAAATACCTCAAACTTCTCATTTTCCCATTTTTGTAATTTAATGTCAGATAACAGGAGCAAAAAAACGATTATAGTTAATTCAACTATTTTCATATGTTTTATTACAGATTATAATAAGAAGTTCTTTCATAGTAAGTTAAGGAACTAGTAAAAGCAATGACAGATTAATAGAATAACACTTACTGTTATTAAAGCTTATTATTTATTAATTATATATATATATATTGTGTTAGGCCATAAACTACGATTAATAACAATACAGGCCGGAACATGTCGCATGTTACAATATTTTTTTAATTTGCATATTACTTTTATGGTGTAGATCGAAAGTTACAAATAATTACATCTAGACCCTAGATACCGTAAAATCAAGTCGCTATTCAATTCAAAGTATCACTGTGTATAGGTCCTAGTCAAAATGTACAGTTACAGATCGAATGTGATCTGTGGCCAGGTGAGCCGAATTTTTTATGTTTACGGAAATACATCCTTCCTTCTGTATGCGCATGCGATGTCTACACTTCCGGAATAATCACCCCATAATCTAGATGACAGAAAGATGGAATTTTATGAATTTTACGCCGCATTATGTACAATAGTCGATTGAATGTTGATGAGACAATTTAACACATACAATGGCTTAAGAAAACAGTAATCTAGACATTAAAAAACAAAAAAATATACCAGAAATCGATCGAAAACACGGAAGATGGCGACTAGTGTCGACCAAAACGTCCCCACACATAATGATCAACCTGTCATTCAAAATACTCCAAAAGAAGGTGAATATAATATGTGATTTGCATAACTCATATGATATTTTCTTCGCAGTAACTCTAATTAAGGTTATTAGATAGGGCATAATGTTCACAAGGTTAATTTACTTATATGATAATAACTTAATAAGTCTTTTAAATGTAAAGTTACACTTATACAGGAGATTCTATTGATTTTATGACTGCGCTGTCCTGGTTGATCTGGGGTCATTTGGGGAAAATGTTTCACAGCACATTGTGATGTAAAGATATTTGGTTTGTTACTTCAATTTTTTCTGGGATAAACATGATAAAGCACCCATTGGATAAGCACCCGGTTATATATTATTAACCTGGTCCTTTGCAGGAAGCATCCTGGTTACATTAGCTGAGTCCTATTCAGGCCATAATCTTGATTGCAAAATTACGATTTAAGTCCCCAAAGAATTTTAAAAATTGCTAAAACGCAGCAGCCGACTGACTTCATAGCAAAGTCAAATCAAGATTTTCGAAACAACCAAGGACTAATACTGTCAACGATTAAATGAAAATAATTACAATAGGGACTTTGAACATCCTCCCATTTAACATTCAAAAACTATTGAAATGGGAATCCGGTTAACAGTTTCAGTTTTCATTTTACTATGGTTTTCGTCGTGAGGATGTTACGTAATCACTTAGCTGATTTTTTTTTCAGTATTTTTATTTAATATGAGACGACCAGTTGTACTTTTCGGTAGGTTAAAGGGTGGAAATTAATGGGTGATTTTTTGCTATTCATTAATAAAAATTGAAATTATGTAAAGGTAAAAAAAAAAACAGCTCATGGATAAGTTGTTAATAAGCATGATAAGAGAGATATCTTTTATAATAGAAATAATACTTACGGCCTGATTTATGTACAAAATAATGAACTAAAAACAAATATGATATACACAAACAAACGACAACCACTGAATTACAGGCTCCTGACTTGGGGACAGGCACATAAAGAATGTAGTGCCACTAGCGGAGTTAAACATGTTAGCGAGGGCCCAACCTGGGACAGTGGTGTAATGGTACAACATATGAACAAACTATAAAAATCAGTTGAAAAGGGCTTGACTCATCAGATAGATACGAAGCACAAAAACAAGTAACAAAAACACAGAGTGGACGTGTCAGGGTAATTATAATACATCCCCACAACAAAAGACACTAAGTAGATCTGAGAGTACTAGCAGCTACTGACAGCTAGTTCAAAGCCAATAACAACTAATAAAAAAAACCATGCATCTAAGCGTAAAATATTAGTCAGTACACATCCAACATCCAATGAATTTAGTATAAAGACAACATACACAGAGAAAAACATGACCTTGTGCAATGACAAGGTACAGGTATCGACATACATGAAAATTCAAACAATTTCCTTAATGATAAGCACAAAAACACTACACAACTGAAACAGTAATGGAGTTTCACTTCCCGAAGAGGTTGACGACTTCTCCAGTCAGAGCTCAGACATAAATAAGTCTAAATTTGTAGGTTTCAAGATTTGTTTCCTTTAATTTAAGACAAATTATGACTTCAATAAGTCAATTAGTGTTAACCCTTTCAACGCTATACACGGCATATGCTGCGATGACGTACGCTGCGCTCAACTGCTGTTCGCGGCCACATGTCGCGATAAGGATGGATTTTTCCTCCAGACTCGTAACCATTCGGGTCCTCTCTAATTTTTCCTCTTATGAATCGAGGATATACAAGGACCCGTATGCGCTTGAAATCACGGGAATTTTAATGGTAAAAGCATGCAGTAGAAGAAAAATAGAAAAAAATATTTTGACAAATGCAAATGGTGGAAATTGAAAAAGACACTGTAAATATGGAAATATTTCAGCATTTCTATGGCGAAACTGATAACGAGGAATAGTTAAAAGGTTTCCCGTTATCTCAATGTGTTAATTACATTCAATTCGTGTGGGAAATGTGATTTGGTCGATCTTTACGAGACGTAGAAAAAGTTTACAAGCCTTGAGCTTCGAACTACTGGTTTATCGTAAAGACTGTGTTATATCAAAACAAGTCAATAGAGTACAGTTGTGTTGATTAATTGTAGTTATATAAAGTTTTTTTTATTTTGTGTTTTATTTATCAGGTACAGTACCTAAAGAAAGACATAAACCGTCACCATTAGAGGTTAGTAATTTTTTTGTATCTTTTCCAAGTATTCTTATATATAAAATAAGGAGATTTGCCCAGTATGATTGCCAATGAAACAGATATACACCAGAGATCTAATGACAGGGATGGGAACAATTATCATGTCTCTGAGGGCTTTCAAGAATGAACAAATCCAAAAGTTTCAAAAGGTCCCAGTATAATATAATGGGCAACACATGAAACAATTCAAAAGAGGTATAAGCAGCCTTTATTTATTCTTGTATCCTTTGTGTTCTTATGCAAATGCATTAGATGCTTCAGAAGTTGCATTCACAGATTCAAGAAACTCGAGACTTTCCATCTGGAATTTAAAAGTTCATATGTAGTTAAAACATATATTTGAAGTCCCAAAGACATCTGGAGGTCTTATGTAAACTTTAGCGTGTACAGTGAACTATAGTTTTAACTTCAACATCATTTGCCAAATTGTCCTCTGGTGGAGAGTTGTCTCATTGGCAATCATACCACATCATCTTATTTTTTGCTCACCTGGCCCAATTATGTATCATCTTAAAAAACACTATTAATCATATTAATAGAGGGACAGAAATGGTCAAAATGTTGAGATCTACTATTTACATCCAAAACAGTCAGGCAACGATATTGGCCTTTAATGAGAATTTATATCAATTGTTTTGCCTAATATAAACTATAATAAAGTAGAAACTTTAATAAGCAAGACAAGAACTGCTAGTATATCTAATGGCAAAAATATTCTGACAACTCCTTATTGGAGTTATTGTCCTTTGGTGACAAATTTCTTCCACCATTGTCCACTGTCCATTATTTGGCAGTTTTGCATAATATCTTAAAAACTATAATAGATACATGAGATAGACACTTTTAGATACAGTGTTGGAGAGTGTCTATTGTTGAAGATCCACTTAGACCTAGGTGAGCAACACAGGTTCTTTAGAGCCTCTAGTTATTTTCCCTATGGAATTACATTGATAGAATTGTTTATTTTAGCCACAGATTATTTTACCAAACCAAAACATGGCTACGGATACACTGAGGCCGACAAGTAGCATACATGCTGGTAAGGACAGGGAAAAGAAGATTGGGCACAGAAGAGTGGACCATCACACAGGAATGGTTACTTATAAAAAGGTAGATATTTTTTAGGGTGGTCATTATACACTATACATGTACCGTCATGACCATGGTCTGCAACAATGTAAAAATAGCATATAATTATATACTAATAGTGCTTAAAGTGGGGTTAAACATCAATCAATCATTATACATGTATGATGTCAAGTTACTAATGTAGAATCCTTCATCATAGGTATAGAACCACTAATTTAGGCCCGGTCACTAAGAACATACAAGAAAGTAGTACATATTTTCAACAAAATAGTCCTTACGCATAGCTGTAACTTTGTCAAAAAGTAAAACATTTTGGTAATTTTTGTGATGAAAGTTTCTCTTGAATAATATAATATATGAAATTATAATGGGGGGGGGGTGGCAGATTTATATAGAATATAGAGAATACAGTATTGTATTGTGTAGGTTCCTACTGTCAAATAGTGGTTTGATGGTTACTTATGCATCAGTTTTACTGACTCTGCTCTGCATCACCAGTTAAACTACAATTGTGACTGTCAGGTCCTCAATTGACAGTGGCAGCTACCGAAATTCATCATTTATTCCTTAGAAGATATAGTTTATACAGTGTTCAGAGTGTTTAAATTGTATTTTGTAGAAACCCACTTCAGAATTAATGGCTGCCATACAGTTGGGTATAGGACAGAGTGTAGGAGGTTTGTCATCTAAACCAGAGAGGGACGTTCTGATGCAGGATTTTGCTGTTGTAGAAAGTGTCTTCTTTCCTTCGTAAGTACATTTTGATGCACAATAGACAGAGTCAACTTAAAAAATATGAGGTCACATCGATGAAAAGAATATCAAAAAATTGTTGGTAAAATAAATATCCTATTACCCTATCCTGGCCCAAAGTAAGAAAAAAGTATACATGGTATAGGAAGATAGCAATACTTTTGAAAAGATTGGAAGTGATGTTCTAAATCTATCATTAAACATCACCTTACAAACTAGAATGCAGCCGTGTTTGCCACTTAATCTACACACACAAAATATAGTCCCTGTTACTTCCCATGTCCAGATGTCTATGTAAGTATGCTTCAAGGAACTGTGGAAGGTTTTGGTTAAACCTGTTAACTCAATATAAAAAGAAGATGTGGTATGATTGCCAATGAGACAACTCTCCACAATAGACCAAATGACACAGAAATTAACAACTATAGGTCACTGTACGGCTATCAACAATGAGCAATGCCCATACCACATAGTCAGCTATAAAAGGCCCCTAAATGACAAATGTAAAACAATTCAAACGAGAAAACTAACGGCCTAATTTATATACAAAATAATGAACGAAAAACAAATATGTAACACAGCAAGTTTGTATTTCAATAGTTTTGCAAATATGAAAATGAAAAATGTGCTACATCATTGCCAATGAGACAACTCTCCACGAGAGACCAAATGAAGTAGAAGTTGGCAGTAATTTTGCCAATGGATACAGTATATCAGTTATTTAAACAAAAGATCAAGTATTGACACCAAATTATAAAAGCAAGGTATTCATACATGTACATAGACAGTAATAGTGCATTGACTTGACATATCAACGATATAAGGATGAGGCTTAGAAACGGGGAAATGCGAGGCTCTGCCGAGCTTTTTCCCCGTTTCGGGCCGAATCCTTGTATCGTTGATATGTCAAGTCAATGCACTATTATTGTCTTTATACTGCAATCTAAAAAAAAACATTTTCAATTGTTGTTTAATGTGTTAATGTTATTATTTGATTTAAATATTGGAAAACTTCCCCCTTTTATAAAAAGGCCCCATATCATGCAGGCGGAGAAATATACAACACAATGAAATGTACATTACCTGTTGAAACCCGCTATCGATGGTGAACGCATTTGTTTGAGAATGAACTAAAATATCAACAATAAGCATAAAACATAATGATTTATAGTTTGCAAACCAAAAGTATTAACAAGTGAAATATGTTTTTTTTTCTAAAAATTGCAAAAGAAACAAGTTTGAGTTGTTGTATACATTGGAAACAAGAACAGGTTGAATAGGTCGTATGAATAATTAATTATAATTTCGGCAATTTCTATTTAAATATTCATGAGGAAAAGTGATATCAGGTCAGTGACTGTATATGACATAGAAATATACGGTCAACGCATTTAGACTGCTCAAATAGAACGAGTGCAGTATAAATGTTAGTATAGTGCATCTTTGATTCTTGACTATTGTCTTTGCTGAATATGGGGTAAAAAGTTATAAATGGGTATTATAAGAAAAATATCCATTTCTAAATACAGCAATAAAAATAACTGGATCAACTGATATTTTATATTTTTAGAGAAGGTAGTAATTTGACCCCAGCTCATCATCTCAGTGATTTTCGATTCAAAACATACGCACCAATTGCATTTCGTTATTTTCGTGAATTGTTTGGAATCCAGCCAGATGATTTTTTGGTAAGTAAGAAATATAGTTGGTTTGTTTAACGTCTTTTTTAGATTTTTTTTTAGAAGGGGAGTGCTTCTGACTAGTTCTTGAGTAGGGGTTTGTTTCTTAGGGACATATTTGAATATCAGTAATAAAAACACTACTGAACTTTTTACAGATAAAAACAATTATAAAATTTATGTTTTTTTTTTACCCCTATCAACAAAAAATGCTATTATCAAAAACATTTGTAATTAAAATTACTTATACAGATGATTTTAAAGATTCTGTTTCAACATTTTGTTCAAATGATGTGTAAATATTCCATTCATTAAATATTTCTATCTTATTACAGTTATCATATAAAAATAAGAAGATGTGGTATGATTGCCAATAAGACAACTCTCCACAAGAGACCAAATGACAAAGAAGTTAACAACTATAAGTCAGCGTACAGCCTTCAACAATGAGGCAAACTCATAACATGCTGTAACAGACTCACAGAATGACAAACACAAAACAATTCAAGCAAGAATACTATCGGCCTGATTTATGTAAAAAACAATGAATGAAATACAAATATAATATACAGCACCAAGCGACAACCACTGAATTACAGGCTCCTTACTTGGGATAGAATGTTGCAGAGTTTAACATGTTTGAAGGCGTCAACCCTCCCCCTCATGTTGTGTTGCGACTCAAATTGAGTTATATAACCCAGTTGATTAGATATTTATGTCTTGTCACAGTACGCCTGTCTGTCGTACATAATTTTAATCCTGGTATCTTATTATCATGTTGTACTGGGGCTCTGAAGAGGTTATTTAATCCAAATGATTAAATATTTCTGTCTTATTACAGTTATCGTGTTGTGATGAGGCTCTGAAGGAGTTATCTATCCCAAATGATTAAATATTTCTATCTTATTACAGTTATCGTGTTGTGATGAGGCTCTGAAGGAGTTATCTAACCCTGGTGCCAGCGGCAGCATTTTTTACCTGACAAATGATGATGAATTTATTATTAAAACAGTACAACATAAAGAGGCTGACTTTTTACAGAAACTTTTACCGGGCTATTATATGGTGAGATATATAATTAACTAGTACGCTATAAAATTAAAATAAAAATCTCCAAAAAAAAAAAAAATCACAAAAAATGAAATAAAGACATCTACAAATCTTTGTTATTTGAGGGAATTAAAACAAGCAAAATGTTACGATAAAGGATAGGAAACATGAAATTTATCACAAAATGAAATAAGAAAAGACCTCAATCTATTCGGTATGAAATGTAAAAAAAGTGTTGCTAGTTTTTCAATTAACATGTTTAATGAAGCTGAATTTTTTCCTTAAACAAAAAGATTGTATCTCATCATTCATTTTGTTGGAAATCTGTTCTAAAAATAAAGAGGAGGAAATGATTTATTAAAAACAAAAACAAATTATCATTAAGATCTTTTTTCCTGTTCTTGCTGATAAAAATTCCAGAAATAACTTTTACTGGAGTAATTTAAATAAAAATGTCACTCGTTTAAAAGCACATTAGAAAATATATGATTAATATACCAACATTTTATTAATATTTATGAAATGACGTGTCAGACTTAGTTATGTACATGTAGTATAATTTAATGAAATAAAAAATATAGCATTACCCATGACAAAGAAAAGCAAAATAAAGGCACCATCAATAGGCAACTGTTTCTTAACAATATGTCAAGCTCTCAATTGTCCAAAGACTAGACGAGTATTGAACCTTAGAAACATAATAGTACTACAAATAGAAAGATTTAGTTTCAAATCCATGTTAGGCTTTACATGAAACTTCATTGAATACTACGTCTAGTCAGCACATTAATTGAATTTCAATGAAAAAATAATCTAATACTGGAATCAATATAATCATGGTTTTTATTTTCCTGGATTTCGTGGGTAAAAGTAAAAATGAACAACACATTAACAGGCTGGTTAGCCGCACGTAAATACAATATTTCTTTATGGAATTGGTATCAGTCTGTGCCAAACTTTTTTGGTTTCTGTTTGACATTCGGTCAGACAGTGTTGTAGCTTTTGTCTGACCTAACAGAATTTGTCTGTCCAAAAAAAAAAATTAATTAAGCTTATTGTGTTGTTAATGTTTTTAAATGAACTGTGTTGTTTTATGATGATATTCACAGTGATCGGGAAGGACGTGCGCCAATTGCGCTTATCGACCAGAAATGGCGCATAGAGTGACAAATGTAAGTGCCCGCGTGGCGCATGATATTTTTCACTTCGTTTTGAAACGTTGAGATATCGTCAAATGGATTTCCGACCGTATTTCGTGCCGCCATGTGTGAGTACACAACTCCAATGATAGGAGCACCAATATATTTTTGGGACTTTTTGTGTGTTTTCCTATGGTAATAATAGCAACATGCGGTATGACTGATTACCCAAAAAACGTAATTAACCATCATTCATGATATAATTTTTTATAAACAACTTTAAATTTGTGAAAATTGGCTAGTACAGTCGAGAATTCTTCTCTAATTATAATCTTTTAAGTAAGCTTGCTTTTATTTCGATTGAAAAATCCAAAATCCTTTTTATGAATAGCATAGTATTTGTCTCCATAAAAGAGGCTTAACTGTCCTTGTCAATTTTTTTGGTCTTTGGCTCGTTTTGACATTAAACATGCCTTCAGCGAATTGTTGTCGTGTCTTATCAATTAACGTTGCTCTCTACTGTTATTCTTGTCATCGTGATGAAGTAATAATAATACAAGTGCAGAGGAAATGCCAGAAACGTCCTCTAATACGGAACGTCTGGAATAAGTATGGTATCGACGAAGACCCATATTTAATGTAAAAAAACATGAACATGAACAAGGGAACAGTACCAGTTTTAACATTGTAAATAAAGGTTATCGTAAATATTGCCCGGTTTGGAAGAAGTTATTGTATATTTATTGAAATTGAAATAACAAAATCACAGGAACAATTTCCATGATATTAATTAGAATCATACTTGTACGTACAGTGAAATATACACTTTTTTATTTTTTTTTTATTGTTAACGAATGGCCCACTCATTTGACAACATGGCCCATTAATTCTAAAATTGGCCCATTTAATTTATTTTTGGGGGGCCCTGGGCCCATAGAGAAAAAATCCTTCCAGATCACTGTATTCATGGTAAAAATTGCATTTTCATTGGGGCTTTTTGTCGTGATTGCTTCATTCGTCAGTCACATTACGTTTCAAGAGCTTACCGGGGATAACCCCTTGAGCATACTTCAGAGTAAACATTTTACCCCAAAGTTTTCATTTCTGTTGATCTGTGCGCATGCATATCAAAATACAATAATAAGTCACAGAACCAAGACAGTGAAAACACCAGACAAACGGACCGGAATTGACATACAATTTGGCTTACCTGCATCTATTTCTTCAGTCAGGCTGTGGAAAAAAACGGCATTTGGCACAGACTGACCTATGAAAATAAACAAGTCTATGTTATAAAGCTTTTTAGAAATACATTTTGTGTATTTTTATGCCCCTCCTACGAAAGTGGTTCACAGTTCACTGAACATAGAAAATGATAGTCAGTCAGGAGTACTTCTTGTACAAGTAATCTTTATTTACTTGAAGAAGTAAAAAAATATACTAATATAAGTTAATTATAATGTTTGAATAATCTCCCCTTAATTTTCTCAAAAATTCACTTGTATAAGTAAATTTTTTTTACAATCCCACAAAAATTCTCAAGTTTTGAGATGTAAAAACATGCCTTTAGTGATTTTTCCCAGGTAAGCTCATAATTTTTTATTAGAGTTCAATGTTTCATCTCATTAATTCAACAAAGAAACTGATTGCGCAAAGATCTGTATTTGCGCAAGGCCTTCAAAAATTGCTCCTTGGTGGCTTGTAAATGAGTAGTGTTCTGAAGATAACAGACAAATGAGATTTTCATTTTCCATGAAATTACACTTAAATGATTAGTTAAGACATCTGCAAAGGACAGACAATTTAAAATTTTATTAGAGCAAAAAAGTCCTAAGAATTCAAGAAAAGAAGATAGGATGACTTTTTCACTTATACAAGTAAAAAAATCTGAATGTCTAAGGGACATAACTAAGCCAATTTTTTTTTACCTATACAAGTAAATAAAATACACTTGTATAAATATCCTACAAATTTACGTATATAAGTATATTAATATTACTTCTTCAAGTAAATAAAAATTACTTGTACAAGTAGTACCCCTGACTGATAGCACGAGTGGGGCATCCATGTACTATGGACACATTCTTGTTATCAATGTTTTTATAATATGTGTTTGTTGATGGCAACACCTCAGATTTATTTGTATAAGTTTCAACCTCTTATTTTATCTTACAGAATTTAAACCAAAATCCTTGTACATTGTTACCCAAGTTTTATGGTCTGTACTGTTATCAGGTGAGTACTTAGTTCTATTAAAAGATTAGTATTTTTCCAGGTTTTTCTGTTTGTTTTTGAATATATAGTGTATTTGAAATTAGGTGAATTGAAGCCTTCCTGAAATTACCATTTTGTTTCTTGGATGTGTATGATGTTCCCTGAAGGAAATATTAACGAACAACGACATACAATCAAATTTTTCTTGAAAAAAAGCACAAATTATTTTATTAACTATGATTTGATTTTTACCTCAAAAATTTTATTTATTCTATATCTCTTTTGATATTATTCATTTTCCTATTGTACATGAAAAAATGTATAGAAATTCAAAAGAGCTTCATTTCCTCAGATGAAAAATGGACCTTCACTCCTTTAAAAATAAAAGTAAAAAACACCACAAGTCAAATACCAAACAATAAACCATGGTAAAGTTTAAGCTAAAGCACCTTTTCAAGTTTTGTGGTTATTAAAATGGGGAAGTATGTCTCAGGGTTGGATGGCTTCCAACAGTTTCTGTGCATGAACTTATGAACCATTCAACCAATGTGTTCTAAATTTTGATCTGTTATTACTGATGACAAAATAAAGGTCAAGTTCTATATTTAAGACAGGCATGGGGTGAATTACATTGCAATGTAATGCATTACATTAGAATTACTTTGTCAAAACCATGCATTAAATTACAATTACATGCATTTATCAAAGTAATGCATTATATTACAATTATTTTTGCAAAGTAATGCATTGAATTACACATTACATTTGTAAATTTTATTATCAAGTGAAAAGAAAAATCAAACATTTTGAAAAACAACATGAAGTCACAAATAGATTCTAGCATATGCATAAAATAGATATAAGAAGATGTGGTATGAGTGCCAATGAGACAACTCTCCATCCAAGTCAAAATTTATAAAAGTAAACCATTATAGGTCACAGTATGGTCTTCAACACGGAGCCTTGGCTCACACCGAACAGTAAACTATAAAAGTCTACTTAACGATAATTTTGTTTCTTTCAGTGTGGTGGTAAAAACATTCGATTTGTTGTGATGAACAATTTACTTCCAACAACAGTGAAAATGTCTGAAAAATATGACTTAAAAGGAAGTACTTATAAACGAAAAGCATCTAAACATGAACGGGACAAGTCAGTTCCAGTGTACAAAGACTTAGATTTTATAAATATACATGCCGATGGTATATATCTGGAAAAAGACAAACATGAGCCTCTGATGAAGACACTTATAAGGGATTGTCGGGTAAGTTAGGATATATACAAACAGGAAGACAAGAAACCTGAGGAAAGCATAAAATGTAGAAAATCAATGCAATAGGATATAGACACATGGCATGGTGCAACATGTTTCATAGACAAAACCATCAGGTCAGGGTTAATTATGATGCATTCAAACGAGATTACATGATAACCTGAGAAAAAATATAAGGCAGTTAAAACGATGAGATTTGGAAAGACAGCTGTCATGATAGTACATGTTTGATAACCAAATAAAACTAGACAAAACCATTAAGGAGGTGTTGGGTTATACCCCAATGAGACAGAAACCCAATAAAACAAATTACCAAAATCCAGAGATCAACAACTAGTCAAATGTCTAAACAATATTTTGAAGTTCTAATTCCTCCCAGATCATAAAAAGTTTAGAAACAAATTTAACAGTGACTCTAAAAAAAATTGCCATCAATATGGAATTCCCTAAGTTACATAAAAAATGAAAGATATTAAGCATAAGACAAACCACTGTAGTTCATACAAGGAAACATTTTTTTTTTAATTCTATATAATTTTATTGGAAATGTATATTTGTTAGAGATACATAAAGTACCCGGTACCTTATCCCGGTCTCGTTAACGTTAGTATATAGCATTTCATAAGGTTAGTACTTGTTAGTACACAACATACAGTTTTGCTAATAAATAATGTGTAACAGAATAAAAAGAAATTACTATGATATATTATAAATCTTAGTTAAGAAGATAAATTAATTTTTTTCTGCAACCAAATTGTAGAGGTTTTTATATTTGCCTTGTTTATTTGTCAATATTTTGTAATGTTGGAGAAGTTCATTTTAAAAAATTTCAAACACATTAATTTGTTTTGTTTTCTGCTCGGATATGTAATACACTTTATATATAGTTAAAAGTATGATTGTTAGAAAATCGTTGATATTGTAATAATTTGTATCGGTTATCCTATATCCATACAAAAGTGATGCAAGTGATATTATATGATGTCCTATTTTAAGTATGTCTAGTTTTATTTGATCCCAGGAAATATTTATATAGATGACAGTACGAAGAAGAGAACCTTAGATTAACTTCAAGAGTTCAAAAATCTGTATAAATAGACAAGTTTGAGAAAAGTAACATCTCTAGAACAATTTTAGAATGACTATCGTAGGCTTAACTTGGTGAAGAAACTTCTTGTGTAATTTGTGATTTCAAGAAATCATTTGGTTAATTTGGAGGTTTTTTACGAAAGAAATAGCTGCTTGGTTTATTTCATCACAAAATAAGTAATATATAGATCATAACAAATAATAAAAACATGACGCCCATTATTTTGCTAAATGCAATGTGTTGTATCCTATCTATTTTTAGGTACTTGAAAGCTTTAAAATAATGGATTATAGTTTGTTAGTTGGTATATATAACTTAGATCAAGCAGAGAGAGAAAAGGTATGTTAGTTTTATCGTAAAGGAAAGATTTACAAAGTTTAAACCTATAGGCTGTATGCTGAAAAGGTTGTGTACATGATTGTTCATAGTACTGGTCCCCTATATACTAAAACTGAAAATTGAAAGAATGAGCATTAAATTGCTGAAAATCATACAATTTTGAACATGAAATTGCTGAAAAATTGTGAAAATTTCTCGAACCAATACACAATGATAATCATGGACAATCAAAAACTACACTGGCATGTCTATTGTTTCAAAGTATTGTCAGTATTTCCAAACTAAGTTTCAGATAACTTATATTACTACAAACTTATTGACCGTGCATGAAGGCAGAACACTAAAGTTTATTTTATCTGACAAGTCCATCTGTGAGTTATTTTTTAAAAAAGTGACTAAAAATGTTCAATCATAAGGAAAAAAAACTAAAAAATTATAGAAGATACTAATAAGACATTTCAGGGGAGATAATTTAGTTGAGCTCTTGCAATGGATAACAATAAGTGGTATATTATATTACAGAGTAAAACCTTGTAGAAATTCCATTAAATATAATCAAATTATATATTATAGGGACGTGCACGGGAAGATTCAGGGGCAGATCATACAGACATTCCAGCGTTAGACGGTCCGTCTCCAGAGGCAGATTCTTCAGGTGCTAAACCCATAAATAAAACAGGTGTGCTTTACTAACAAACTAACATAGATATATAGTAGTATTCTAGTTACTAGGCTTTTTTGTTGACAGGTTTACATGAATCACGCTTATTACAGCTTTATTGAGTGTGTAGATAAAAATCGATGAGTTTGCTTGTTTGACAATATGATAAACCATACCTTTGTTTTATAGTTAAAAAGAAAGAGAAATAATGCATAAGTTAATTTACTTGTTTGTTAGGTAGACATTGAATTCGACATTACGTATATATATTATATACTACCCAATAAAACATATCATTGAGATATAGCCTTTTAGTGCTGATGTGGTGTAAAGCAAACATCAATCAATCAATCAAATAGAAACAATAAAAATGTCATTATTATTCAAGCTAGATGACTGTATTTGGAAACACCATGTCAAATCATAATGAACAACCAAAAAAAGTCCTGAACTAAATTAACATGTTATGTAATATATTAACCTTACACAAATTACAAAGAATAAAATAACTGTTCCCATCTTAGACTTTCTCATAAGAAATAGTGTTGATCTTTATTCCTTTAATGCTTAAATTCTTTGTGTGTTTTTATTAAAAATGATATTCACAAAATTTCATGAGTAAATTTAAATCGCTGCAAAAAATTATTGTTTTCATTGAAACACCTGTGTGTCCTATTTACCTCAAGAAAGTGAATTTTAAAGATTAAAATAAACACATACCATTTGGCTGTGTTAAATTTAATAGATTGCATGTACAACTCAACACAAGCATACACCTGTAAAGGAAGTTAGGGAATACACATGTTGAGGATAAATTAAATTAAATCTTGCTGTTTGATTACATACTTGGCTTGGAAAAACAGTTTTGGTTTTTTGCCATAACATTCATGACATTGTCAGTTTCTCTTCAACTTATGAGTTTGTAATGTCTCCTTGGTATCTTCCACATCTTGTTTTGGAATAAAAATGTTTGTTATTAGAACAGTTTATAAATTTATAAACAACAAATTTTCAGGGACCACAGAATAATTACTTATATTTATCGATGTTTGAAAAACACAAGTTTTAAGATAAGGAAAATGAAAATAGACATTTATTGTTCATACCAAATGTCACCATATATAATAACACACAAGTTTAATATCTAAACCTGAACTAATACATAGTGTAAAGTGTGTAGAATTATCATAGCCTAATTTGTTGTGTTGGTACGATGTTTTCATTTTTAGTTTTATGTATTTTTTTCTTATGGTCAAATTTAGCCAGTGAACAAATAAGACCATGTTGATTATGGATTTGTGCTACATATTGATAAAAAAAAAAGATTTTATCTTTTTGTTTGTAAATTTACATTGATAACAAGTATAGTCTGAGCTCTGACTGATAATTAACAAACTGCTAATTTTCACTGTTTTAAATTTCTGTTCAATTTTTTCGGTTTTTTTATTTGGTTTTCTTTTAGTACTTTGAGGTCTTTGATAAATTGTGTTTTTTTTGTAGACTCCAATGGAGAGAGTTAGTATTAAACATATTACTAATCAATGGTGTTGGGTACTAATATATAACTTTTAATTTTTGGGTGTTATAATGTACTCTAAAGTTCCTTGTTTCTAAATGTGTTTGCCGTATTGAATCATGGGAAATATTATGTACCCTGAATTTGTTTGGTTCTCAATGTGTGTGCAGTTTTGAATCATGGATAATATTCTGAGTATGATTGCCACTGACCCTGCAAGACCCTAGTGGGTAGTCAAGGTTATTAAACACCCCACATAGTAGAAGAAGTATGGTTGCCAGTGAGACAACTATCTGAATGTCAAAATCTGCACACCTGTATGCAAAAAGGTGACCATGTCTAATGACACCTCACAGAAAGAACACACTTTATTTTAGCAGATCATTTAATAACATATCTCTGGCAAATACAATATTTATCCACAGTTAAATATCAAAGCCTAACATTGTAATTATGAAAATTTAACTGTCTCCAGTGAAGAAATATTGTATCACATTAGAGATTATTCTAGATTCTATATTAATTTGGTTCAGAAATGTTTTTACATAAACATGATGAAAAAATGAGGAATGATATACCTGATATATTGTCTGGTAAAGTAACTGATTTGAAATATCCATCTGTTCACCAGATATCTACATATACCTAGCTATATATAGGGACCTCGGTTGCCAAGTGGTTTAAGTAGTTCAACTAGCCTATCAACACTGAGGTTGTGAGTTTGAATCCAGATGTGGCAGGTGCGCTCAACTATCTTAATTAACAACGATTGTCAGTTTTCCTGCCGAATGTTGGTGGTTCACTCCAGGCACTCTGGCTTACCACTAATTAAAACTGACCACCACAAAATAGCCAATTGTGTTGAAAGTGGCGTTAAACACCAATCAATCAACCATAAATCTAAAAACTATAAAAAATAGTATCATTTCATTTTGTATTTTTGATAATTGAAGTTATCACATAACCACACTGTTATCAAATGTTAATCTTTCTATCTTTATATAAAGAAAAATATTATTATTCTAAAGCTTTGCTATATTAAAATTATTATTGTTACTATTTTCTATGTAGAAAGCTAGTATAGTACAGACCTAATGCTATTAGTTAGTATATCAATTATTTACAAATTTAAGGAAATTAAAATTTTTTAGACAAATAATAGTTAGTCCCAAGTCAAAAAAGCCTGAAAGCACCTTTCAAATACAGAAAACCCAGTTTGCTGTCAATTTGATAGCATATTCCTTGTTTGTTAATTGTTTGCACTATAAATCAGGCAGTTGGTTTACTCTTTTGAATTGCTTTCACATTTTGTCATGCCAGGGCCTTTTATTGACGAAAATAACACTTTTTAACCGGATTTTCGAAGTAAAAATCGGTTATTGATTTGGGGATGTAGTTTTTCTGGTTTGGGGCGGGCAGCTGCGAAACAGTGTCCGCTCATTTATATGGAAAAAATTTGAAGAAATTTTTTTAAAATTTAGATATGTTGTTTCCTGTGACTAAATGAAGGTCAAGTTCAATTTTCACGATTTTAGCTTTTCTTGTTCAGTTATAGCCCTTTCCCAAGAATTCAATTTTTGATGAATTAATCCATTTCTGTATAAGGGGAAATAACTCATTTTTTAAAAAAAATTTAAAAGACATTGTCTGATAAATGACATCTTGGATTTTTTTTTCTTTTCTTTGGTAAATTGTTTGAAGAATTTTGTGGTATGTTTGTTTGTTATTCTGTATAAACTAATTTTCTGAATGCTATGATATGAAGTGAACTCCTTTAATTAGATAATAATCTATTTTTTATTAAAGGATATACATGATATATTTCATTACATTTAAAGTTGTTGAAGTTGCAGATCTATATTAGTTTGTGACAAATTAAAAATTTGGAACTATTAATTATATTTGATTATAATTTGAAAATAGATATACATTGTGTTACATCATATTTCAAACGGGAAACCAACGGTCTAATCTATATAAAAAACGAGAAACGAGAAACACTTATGAACCACATCAACAAACGACAACTACTGAACATCAGATTCCTGACTTAGGACAGGTGCAAACAAATGCAGCGGGTTTAAACGTTTTAATGGTACCAAACCTTCACCCTTTTTCCTGAAACAATAGTGTATTTCTGTTCAAAGGGAAATAACTCAAACTTGTTCAATGAATCAGTAATGATAACATTAAAATTTCTTTATAACTATTTTTTTTAAGTCATGTGATTTCAAAGGTAGATGTCACAGTTGTTATGTGGTATTTTATTTTGTTGTGTGTGTTAATGTTTAATTTTTACATGATCCTGTTTGGGTTCAGATTTGCAAATATCATTTTTATTTCATTATTAATTAGATAATAATCTATTTTAAATATTCAATCACAATCCAAATTCAGAGCTGTTTTAAGCTTAAATGTTGTGTCCATACTTTTTCAACTGTTCAGAGTTCGACCTCTGCAGGAAAATCCGGTTTGCTTTCACTCTGACAGCCTCTTGTCTTGATCTACCTTCATTTGGAACTCCTAAACCAAAACATTTGAAAGCCAGGGATATATTAAAATTCATAGAACTGTGGTCAAGGAACAGTTGGTTACTCAGATCTGTTTTTCTTGGTAAAGGAACAGTTGGTTACTAAGATCTCTTTTTCTTGGTCAAGGGGCAGTTGGACTTCTATTAAAGGCCTAACTGAGTACATCAGGTTTCATCTCAGAATAAATTAAGTGAGTTTTAGTCCTTCTTAATTTTCTTGACACCAACATTACCAAGTTAAAATGTACATAATTATTCCCAATAATTACTTTGCAATATATGTTAAAAACAACTGATACAGAAAAAATATAACATAAACTATTGTTTTGATATGTAGCCATGTGGAGGACTAATGTTACCTGTTTTCATTCCAAAGCTAATAACAGACATGATTTTCATCAGTTGTAGTAGTAATAACCGATTTTTTACTCTTAAGAAATAAGCATTAACATGTGTTGGATTTAGAATGATTTGTTTGAAGACAGATTTTTTTTAAAGTAATTTTTGTATAACATATCAATTTTTGTAATCAAGTAAAAGTAAAGTCTGTAATGAAAATAAAATGTTGTGTACCAATTGGATAATGGAAGCCTATTAAGGCTTAATGTACAATGTCATAATAACAATACAATGTAATTAAAACAATGTAATGATAAAAATACATTGTAGTGGTAACAAAAGATTCACAATTTTATGCCTGTATCATCTTCATCCTTAGGTACCTCATTAACAAGAACTAAGTCTATGAAGACGAGACTGGCAAATTATTCCACGGCTATAGAATCTATACAGGCCAGAAATGTAGACGATGAAGAGGAGGAGGATGAAGATACGCCGTAAGTAAGGGGTTCTGTTCAGGGTGGGGAGGGGCACTAGATGTCAGTAGACTAGCACAGTATTCCACAGCTATAGAATCTATACAGGCCAGAAATGTAGACGATGAAGAGGAGGAGGATGAAGATACGCCGTAAGTAAGGGGTTCTGTTCAGGGTGGGGAGGGGCACTAGATGTCAGTAGACTAGCACAGTATTCCACTGCTATTGACCTTATCCCTGAGTTACTACATTATTGACATGTACCCCAAATTTCCTTTCATTCTTATAAATAGTTATAGACAAAGGAAAGCAATAGTAATGTTCATAATGGAAAAACAAATGAGCAGCTTTATAAAATGCAATTAAAACCCTATGGTACTGACCTGAGATCTAAATCTTCCAAGGTTTATTACTACCTTTGACAGTTCAAACAAAATAGTGCAGTGAAGTGATCTATCTTTAGATCCTATCCAGTCAATGTCATGCAATTTATTAATGATATGTTTTACTTAGATATTCAAGTTACAATATTATGTGTATTTGAATTACCATACTTGTAGAAATTCACTAAATTGCCAAATGAAAGCAATCTTTACTCTTTAGTGCTCACAAGCACTTTGATTATATAGATAGGGGGGATTTCACGCTTGTAATGATTAATTACTATCAGATTCAGTAGTAATTTGTATTGAGCTTTTTCGAGTATTAGATCTGTGAAAATATTATAAAACATTTTTTTTTCATACCATGCATTATTCTATTAATAGCTGTCTATTTTTAGGCCTGGTGGTATTCCTGCCAAAAATGCAAAAGGAGAAAGGTTGTTAATATTCCTTGGTATAATAGATATATTACAGAGCTACAGACTGAAGAAAAAACTTGAACATACCATGAAATCTATAGTTATAGATGGGGTAAGTGTCAAAGAACATACCATGACATTGATAGTTATAGATGGGGTAAGTCTCAAAGAACAAACCATGAAATCAATAAATATAAATTGAGAAAGTCTCAAAGAACATACCTTGAAATCAAAAGTTATATATGGGGCAAGTCTCAAAGAACATACCATAAAATCAATAGTTATAGATGGGGCAAGTCTCAAAGAACATACCAGGAACACAGAATTGGTTTTGGCTGCAAGTTAAGAGTATTGGTTGGATTGGAGTCTGAATATTGTTAAAAAGTTGATGAAGTGTGTTGGTTCAGTATAGTGCCTTTTGACATAGCAAGATATAGATGTTGATCGCAGAAAATGCAAATTTTATTGAAACCAGGTGTAACTCTATATCATCAATGGAATTTTTCTAACAAGACAAAAAATATAGAAAATTTTCCTGCAGGGATATTAAAGTTATATTTTGAAATTTTTTTACAATTTTTGCACATCTTATACCAAGTAGGTTTTGTAAACAAACTGAACACATTACATTACCAAACTTGACATTCCTTTGTATTTTCAGGATTCAATATCTGTACATAGACCTAGTTTTTATTGTCAAAGATTCCAGGATTTCATGTCCAAAAGAGTTTTCAAGAAACTACAAACTCGTAAGTTTTTTACTGTGACAATTTCAATTTCTAGATAGATTTAGGTCTGTCTTTTTAATTTGTGTAACTGAATGTTTTTTGTCATTTGGGAAATCTTTTCTCTATAGCACATCTTTGAAAGTCTCTGTTTAATTTATTTACAGTTTTTGTAGACTCAGGGCCATTTAGAGCTTTTGATTTTGGACAAACATTGGCTATTGTTGAAGGCCATATGTTAACTTCTCTTATGTTTATGTATTGTTGGGTTTCCATATCAGTAACATCTTCTTGTATTTATAATTGTATCAATGCAATCAGAGCCTGATCCTGTTCCAGAGATTAATTTGAAAATGCAGTAGTTTTATATGATTACACATTGTGGTAAAAGTCAAACTATTCATATTATTTTCCAAAATAGTATCTTACTTAGACATGTGAGAGGGTAATACACCAAGTTGAATTATAAAATATCCTTATTCAGATATGTTGGATCATATGACATCGTGCTCTTTATCCTTTTCAGTAAACTTTATGACAGAACAGTTAATTTGAACATCCATGTATTATCATGGCCAATATCTTATTGACAAAATGATTGATGATGGTCAATTGATAGAAAGTGCATCAGTGGTCACATTTTAGTGTGCTGACTTTGAGTTCAAGAAGTCTTTGGTTCGATCACAGCTGAGTCAAACCAAAGACTTTAAATTTGGTATTAGCTGAATCTGGGCCAGGAACACAGCTTTCATAAGTTAGAGCAAAGGCTTGTTAGCTTGAGTCAGAATAATGTGTGGTGTTGGTCACATGCCTTCATATGGACGTTTACCTTGTAGATAGCAGATGAAAAATCTGCTTCAGTTTTCTCTGTGTAGAACAAAGCAGGGTATATAATCATTGAAATGTTCTTGTGCTGAATATGTAATATTTGTAACTGGATGTGCAGCTGTCATTAATCAATCAATTTGTACAAGTTTTGTTCCGCCACTTCCATTTTCAATATCAAAACAAGCAGTGACCATGACAAGACAGTCTTTCAAATTAGTTTTACCTAAAAAAGGCACAGGTAACAATTGTCTATATTAACATTAATAGAGAGGTGTCCTGTACAAATAACTTCAACCCTTATTAAATAACTACATGTCTAGTACAAAGACATTTAATTTATTTTCACCTGTCTACAAAGAACAGTTCATCCACATAGCTGGTTAGACATTTAATGTACTTACACCTGTCTACAAAGAACTGTTTCTCTAAGTGACCAGTTAGATATTATGCTTTGCTATATAGACACCATTATTTATTTTGCTTTATTTTTGCTATCTATCAGTGGACCCTCCAACGTTCAAGGGATCCCAGAGATTTAGAAAAATTGCCAGATTAGGTAAAGAGTTGTCTCCCTTGAAGCAGTTGTTTTCATTTTCATCTTGGCATAGTTGCCATATATTTTGTGTTTTTGCCTTAATTAGTTTTTTGTTTTGTTTTTTTCAACAATATTTTAATTTCAGTTCATATTTACACATAGTTTGAATTCCCCATGGAAGCTGTCTCCTCAGATTTATAATTCATGTATAAATACATTTAATGTCATAAACGCACAACCTGTAACTTTTGTGACAACCTGAGTAGAAAAAGGGAAGACCAAAAACACCCTGGTTGAGGATAGGAAGAACAGTAGCAGGGGTCAATTTGTTTTTAGTGTCCAAAATAACATTCAGAGACTTACTGTTTGTGCTCAATTCTTGTTTAGTCTCCCGAATAGTAGCAAGGGCAGAAATTGTCTGCCTATTTATATTAATGAGTATATACCACAGTTTACACTGTGTCAAGATTTCAAGGGAAAAGGAACTTAAGATGTCTATTCTTTGCTGTTAAGGTACAGGTCAGTGACTGACCAGGAATTAATCTTTGCCGTTAATGTTCAGGTCAGTGACTGACTTGGAAGTGAGTTTTTTTTCCCTTAGACAACTGTTAGATGAGTTCAGTCCATAAGAATTGTAGGAAGATCACTTCTTTCCCTTACATTATAATTTGGTAGATCTGTTGTATTTATCCTGTCTATTTTTGTCTTTCTGTCACAAAAAGTGTTGCCACAAAATCTCAGTAACTTAGGAAAGGAGCATTGCATGAAAAAATTACTTCATATTGTGTGTTGTCACCTCTTATTTCATTTTATAGCTGGTTAATTTATTTGGACTTTAAATCTTTTTTGATGGTATAATCATAAATTCCATGGAAATTGTAGATTTATGGGACAGTTTGGAATGTGTCAATATATATTTATTTACTGAATTGTCATGTATTTTTTTCTAAATTGAAGTTTGTTTGTTACCAAAATTTGTCAGCACAAAATAGAATCATTTTACATAGGAAACATGCAGTACTTGACAAAATACCTACTTTCCATTTGATATTTTTGTAAGAATGATTTATGGGTTTACTATTACAAGGTGTAAAGGTAGTTATACAGTTTCCATGGAAATTCTAAACACAGTGTAGCATGGTTACAGTTTACAGTATGTTGATATATTTAGTTGCATAATTATTGTATTAATTTTAAGTAATTTGAAACATTGATTAATTTTCTCTGTTCATATCACTGATCACAATCTAAATACATATTTATCTTCAAGGCAATACCAAATAAATTTTTGCAGATTGATGCAGTATTTCAATGCGCTATAAACTTTTAATTTTCCTGTGGGAAGTTTTTGATTTAACTATATTTTTAAAGCGTCAGTAACAAAATTCTGGCAAAGATCTTGAATTTTTATTTCTCTGAAACATATTTATTCAAAATGAATGTGCTTTTACAGTAGCTGGATATCTAGGGTTAGTAACTTACCTTAAAAGTTCTTACTCTCTCAAATATACCTATAAATGGTTAGTTCATCAATTTTATGGGTCGGTTCCCCTGTTAAGATAAAAATGCTTCTGATTCTTAAATTTCTGCATGTTCTATATGGAATTTCCTTTTAAAAAATAGAGTGTCACCCTTATTTTTGAATCTTCAGGAAGAAGCAATTTAAAATAGAGAGATTCTTTGATTTCTGTAATGCCATGGATTGTCAAAGTGCATATTTTTCAGAACCTTTTGTTTTTTCAAAATATTTTTTGGTAGGTGCCTTGTGATGTATTTTTTGATATTTTTCAATAGGTTCCTTGTGATGTATTGTTTTTGCTATGTTTGTTGTAAACACATTATTTATTTTACTGTAATTCAAAAGTCTTAATTGGTTTTACTTCCATCAACAAGAGGACAGTCAACAGAAATATACACATTGTCTGTCTTAGAATGTTCAACCTCATTGACAGTTAAGTGTGATCTATTGCTCTGTGTTTAGAGTTCACTGTGACTATGATCTGAAGGACAGTAATACAAGTACTGCTCCTTTTTTTTGGTTTTGTTAAGTGTGTGGAATGTTTTTTTATTGATAAATACACCATTTTCCTTACCTTAGACATCAAGTCATCAATTTATCCTGTCCTAAAAGTGCCACTTGGTTAAAATTTAAGTTTATGTTATCATTTGGTAATGTTTTTAGAAAGCATTGAGTCATTTGCTGGCATTCTTTGATTGGTTTCTTGCTTCATGAAACCTCACTTTGTGTATAACCCACTGAAACATGCTATGGAATACACTTATATTTAGAATAACTAAACTATTATCTTGAAAGTTTGAATTTATTAGTCCAATCTAGTATGCTAGGCTATCCTGAATCGAGCTGTCAGAGTACAAATAAAATGTATATTTTGAGACAATGTATAGTTATTCTCTTTATACTGCAACTCTTACAACTGTTTCAAATGAAATATTTTGGGGTTAAAACCATCAATTTTTAAAAATGGACATGGTGAAAATTCTGCGATTCTGTTTTCTTTCTTGACCTCATAAATAAAACTTACTGAAACCCATTGTTAACGTCATAAACAAAGCAATATACAGTCAGTGACTGTTTATCACTAATAATTATATAAGTCGATGCAATTTGACGGCCCACCTAGCACATACAGTTTCAGGTTGTTCAATGTGTTTTTTCATTTGATTTTGCCATTTGATTAGGGACTTTCCGTTTTGAATTTTCCTCGGAGTTCAGTATTTTTGTGATTTTACTTTTTGCAGTATAAATTATAAATTAGTAAGTTTGTTTTTCTAGTCCTCACTGATCTAGGATTTTGAATTCCGTGCCATTGTATTAAATATGAAGGACAAGAAGGGCAATTAATATTTAAATGGAAAGAGAGTAGATGGATTTTATTTTTGGAAAAGATTGCTGTCAACATTGTCAAGCCATCAATAACCTGTACAATGCTATACCACAAGTTCAGCTATACCACAAGGAATTTGATGCGACTGTCATACAAGTGAGAGGTTTAGTGCTTTAAAACCAGGTTCAATCCACCATTTTCTACATTTGAAAATGCAAGTACCAAGTCAGGAATATGACAGTTGTTGTCCATTCGTTTGATGTGTTTTATCATTTGATTTTGCCATTTGATTAGGGACTTTCCATTTTGAATTTTCCTCAAGAGTTCAGTATTTTTGTGATTTTACTTTTCACTATTATAAAGAGTTCCAAATTTCCTTTGATTATGCCAATTTATGATTCAAAACTTTATAATAATGAAATTGACATAAAATCAGATATTTATAGATTATAATTGATCATCTTTACAAGATTGATTTTCTCGCTTGAGCAGGCACGTCCAAAGATGTAAAGATGACCAATGATAATCTGTTTATTGCTATTTTGCCTTGTCATTGATCTTTACATTGACAACGGCCGGTTTGCCATACTTTTTATCCATAACTTCCCATCTCACTCTACTGCACTTAGAAAGGTCATTAAGGAGAAAGGAAAATAGCGATAATCATATTCATAACACTGGAAAATAAAAAAGTATGAAAAATTTATCAGGGCATACTATTCTTTATAATTTCTTTGATTCAACATTACCTTATACATTTAGCTTTATCCATTATTTAAGAAAAAACAATTAAAAACCATTAGGGACAGCAAATGGTCTAGATATAATTGTAAAAAGTAGTTTCTATCAAGTGCCCTATAAGCTGTTTACTAATGACTTGGAATTTTCTCCTAGGTGGTATGCATCAATCTTGTGACTTTCATCACAAAAGATGAAAACCAGTGTCAGAAGAATCCTTCAACAATAGCATCATGCTATGCGCAGACATACTAATTATTATACTTACCAGTTTTGTATTTATTTGACTGAAAGATAATTGACTTTCATTTTGTTTATTTTCAGCTATTAAACATTCACCTTCCAAAAGAAAACCTGCATACCCAAGAAGACACGGAAATTCTGAAGGAGAAGGTGAAACCTCAAAATATAGGGCATATAGTTACTCAGATGAAAGTCAACCTGTCTCAGGTAAAGATTATCAAAATATAGGGCATATAGTTACTCAGAGGAAAGTCAACCTGTCTCAGGTAAAGATTATCAAAATATAGGGCATATAGTTACTCAGATGAAAGTCAACCTGTCTCAGGTAAAGGTCATCAAAATATAGGGTATATAGTTACTCAGATGAAAGTCAACCTGTCTCAGGTAAAGGTTATCAAAATATAGGGTATATAGTTACTCAGAGGAAAGTCAACCTGTCTCAGGTAAAGATTATCAAAATATAGGGCATATAGTTACTCAGATGAAAGTCAACCTGTCTCAGGTAAAGGTTATCAAAATATAGAGTATATAGTTACTCAGAGGAAAGTCAACCTGTCTCAGGTAAAGATTATCAAAATATAGGGCATATAGTTACTCAGAGGAAAGTCAACCTGTCTCAGGTAAAGGTCATCAAAATATAGGGCATATAGTTACTCAGAAGAAAGTCAACCTGTCTCAGGTAAAGGTCATCAAAATATAGGGCATATAGTTACTAAGAGGAAAGTCAACCTGTCTCAGGTAAAGATTATCAAAATATAGGGTATATAGTTACTCAGAGGAAAGTCAACCTGTCTCGGGTAAAGATTATCAAAATATAGGGTATATAGTTAGAGGAAAGTCAACCTGTCTCAGGTAAAGGTCATCAAAATATAGGGTATATAGTTACTCAGAAGAAAGTCAACCTGTCTCAGGTAAAGGTCATCAAAATATAGGGTATATTGTTATTCAAAGGAAGGTCAACCTGTCTCAGGTGAAGGTAACTAAAGTATAGGGTTTATAGTTACTCAGAGGAAAGTCAACCTGTCTCGGGTAATTTAAAACAAAACATTTACAAAACACAAATATGATAGACATGAACCAATGACACCACTGAATTACTGGCTCCTGACTTGGACAGACACATGAACAATGTGGCTAGGTTAAACATGTTTGTGAGTGCTTAACCCTCCCCTAACCTGGGACAGTGGTGTAACATCACAACATAAAATAAAACTGTAAAAAATCAATTGAAATGGCTTACCTCAATAGATCAGTGTGAAGCTAAAAAAAGATAACATAAAAACAATGGAAAAAGAACCAATATAAGAATACTGACAGTTACTGAAAGCTGTTCAAAGCCAACCAACAGATAATCTATGTTCTCCCAGAATTAAGTATCAATCCATACACATCCAACAGATTTAGTGTAAAAATGTTATAAACAGTCTGAGAATTGAATGGCCTTGTGCAATGCCATAGTAGTGGTGTCTGTTGCTCTTAAGATGTTTGAATTCAATACATTTTTTTTTCAGGAGCCACAGGAAGACGCCCAGATTTAGTCCCAGAAAACTCCACACCTCCTCCTACATTCGCAGAGGCCCTAGAAAGAGGGCCATCACCACGACAACAAAATAGGTCACCTAACACATCAAGAGTGTTATATACAGGGAGAAGTATTTCTTCTGAATCTGAAAACAAAAGGTAAGAAATTGTGTACTATGAATATAATGTAGTCATGACATGTTTATATTAGGAGAGGTTTATCTAAGGTTGGTGGTTTTCTCAAGGCACTCTAGTTTCCTCAACCTATACAAGCTAACCCATGATCTTGCCAAATTTGAGAATGGTGTTCAACACCAACAAATCATTCAATAGAACACCATTAAAAAATAAACCCCCCTATATAATTGCATTATAAGTCCACCTTCTTTGAAGAGTTTTTTCACAAATGAAAGAGTTTGTTTTTCCTTCGTTTTACGAACTTGCTTATAATAGACATTCTTCAATTAGCCATATCATTAATATAACCAGTGATTTATTTAATTGTTGTCTCGCCTGTGACGAAAGTTCCAGTATGCGAGACATAGGTATTACTATCCAGCGGCGGTGTAAACTATTTGTATAAAGCTATATATTTCAAAAGGTAGAAGACCTGGATGCTTCATACCTTGTATGCAGATACCTTATGTTATGAAGTTTCCATCTGTCATATGCCCATTGACCTTGACCTCATTTTCATGGTTCAGTGACTGCTTGAAAAAAAAACAGTTTTTTTGCCATGTGAATTTCTCTCTTATTATTAGTAAAAGGATAACTATATTTGGTATATGGGTTCCTTGCAAAGTCTACATGTTCGACAGACAGGGTTAACCTGACCTCGACCTCAATTCATGGAACAGTGATCATAAAGTTAAGTAATTAGGTACGTTTCTCAGATACTACAAGCAGCAAGTCAACTTTATGTGGTGTATGGAATAATTGTAAGGGGTACATGTCAGACTGGCAGGTTTCATCTGACCTTGACCTCATTTTCATGGTTCATTGGTCATTGTTAATTTTTTGTGTTTTTGTCTGTTTTTCAAGTACTTTAAGCAATAAGTCAACTATATTTGTTGTATGGAATGATTGTAAGGTGTACATGTCTGTCTAGCTGGTGTCATCTGACCTTGACCTCATTTTAATGGTGCATTGGTCAATGTTAAGTTTTTGTGTTTTTGTCTGTTTTTCAAGTACTTTAAGCAATAAGTCAACTATATTTGGTTTATGGAATGATTGTAAGGTGTACATGTCTGTCTAGCTGGTGTCATCTGACCATGACCTCATTTTCATGGTTCATTGGTCAATGTTAAGTTTTTGTGTGTTGGACTGTTTTTTAAATACTAATAGCAATAGGTCAACTATAATTGGTGTATGGAATGATTGTAAGGTGTACATGTCTGTCAAGCCAGTATCATCTGACCTTGACCTCATTTCCATGGTTCATTGGTTAACATTAAGTTTTTGTGTTTCGGTCTGTTTTTCAATTACCATAAGCAATGGATCAACTAAAATTGATGTATGGAATAATTGTAAGGTGTACATGTCTGTGTGACAGTTTTTATTTGACATTAACCTCATTGTCATGAATCTTTAAAAATGTTAAGTTTATGTGATACTTGTAGTAAAACCTTTATCTTTAAGACTTTCAAACATAAAATCAATGGTGAGTAAAACATGCGAGACATTTCAGCGTGTGCACTCTTGTGTTAATATTTGGGCAAAATAAATCTTAGATTCTGCTGTGTATCAATTTAAAGAAATGAATGAAATGGCAATTTAAAAATTTCGATTTAATTTTTTACCCAATTTGATATAAAAATTAACATTTTTAAGGTTCAACATGTTCAAACAAAGCTCTTTTTTTATTTTAAATGACACAAATGATAAATGAAAAAAAGAAATTTCGTAGTAAATATGCTGAGTGTCTATAGAAACACAACACATCATATTCAAAGTAGTCAATTTTTCAATAAAAAAAAAATAATTTCAAGGCATTCCTTAAACGTTTTATTACTTAACAGCTTGGTCTCACATCAAGATTTTTCAGTTCAGAAATTTGGGGTTAGTCCCATAGGTGTCAAAACTCACAAATTTTCATCCAAACGTGAATACACTACCAAACCCAAGGCGAAAGTTTTCAATTTTCATAATGTTTTTACAACATTTGCTTTGTGGTTCATTATGGAGGAAGGACAAAGTGTAAATTTCATATTTTATTGGTTAAAAGTGTAGAATTTTTATTCATTAAAATCTGAAAATCAAAAAGCTCTGAAAATTGCTCAAAAATTTTCTGTATGCATATCCCAAGAAGTCATTAAATTCTTAAAAGGATTTGTCAACTTCCGATGAATATCTGTTGGTTTGAATTTAAATCAAATCGAAAATGAATGTAGGGATTGTGTATCTATTATCACTCAGTATATAGGAGATAATGAGGTCAAGGAACATTTTGTAACTGCCTATACTGTTAAGTTAGAGATGTGTTTTGAGAGGCATATGTCAGCTAGCTTAATCAGTGAATAACATGTACACATAGTCACTTTAAATCAGTCCAATTGAAATTATTTAATTACAGAAATTCAACATCATTTCGACTACAGCATCAATGTCTAGTTATTTATATTTCAGGCTAGATTATTCCAGTAGTGGTAAATTTACAGTAACATATCAGGAGCCATCACAGATTCCAGCGTCACCTAATCTCAGTCTGTCAGAATCGACGCCCACTCATACAGATTTTACAGAGGGTACGCCCAGTTACACGCCTTCTACACCCAGCTGTTACAGTGAAATAGGTACAGCTAGTGACAGCACTGCTTGTCAATGGAAAGCTTAGATTTTACCTTGGTGTTTTATATGGCCACTTTTAGCTTCAAATCTGTTAGCTTTTTATTTTATGAACACGATCAAAAATTGTTGATATGAGCATTATTAGCGTTGCTTCTCTGTGCAGCTTGACTATTTTGTCAACTTATTATGTTGTGACCAAGGACATTATGGTAGAAATGAGCATTTGTATCTTTGCTTCCGTGTGCAGCTTGACTATTTTGTCAACTTATTATGTTGTGACCAAGGACATTATGGTAGAAATGAGCATTTGTATCTTTGCTTCTGTCTGCAGCTTGACTATTTTGTCAACTTATTATGTTGTGACCAAGGACATTATAGTAGAAATGAGCATTTGTATCTTTGCTTCCGTCTGCAGCTTGACTATTTTGACAACTTCTAATGTTGGGACAGTATCGTAGAAATGAGCCATTTGTAGCATTGCTTCTGTTTGCAGCTTAATAATTTTATAAAGCACTGCTTATTATATATCATGAAATAAGTTTGGCCTGTTTTAATATACATTTAGTTGTCAGAAAGTGACCAAGCACACTATATAATCCACCCACATTTTGCACATATACATGTATATGTTGAATCTTACATTCAGTTTTTGGTTTGTCAAAATGAAAGATCCAAAGCTGATTATTCACATTCAACTTGAATAAATAAGCCTATCTTTAATCTATTCATAATGATAATGCATTAAATGACCAAAAATTCCTATTCACAGGTTGACAAAAAAAAAATTGCTAACAAATTATTTGATAGATAACAATAGTTAAAAAGTATATTTCAGACCCTTGATAATTGAATGTGACCTTATCAAACTTTTAATATGAAGTAAGATGAAAGAAAAGAAAAGTAAAAAAAATAAGATACAAGGTTATTAAAATGTGATAATTTTATTTGACTGAATACATGATCTATTTTATACTTTGCACAATGGGTAACTCTCTATAATCTTCAATCACCTTGTAAAATGGTCTAGTACTAAAAGCATGAACACCACTTCCGTCTGACTAGTAATATCACATTGTGAAGAAGCATCACTTTCCTTAATTGCTTTTACAGAGTTGTAATTGTTATATTTTAACTGAGATATCATTTCATGTCAATTTTTTGTAGGGTTATGGGACTTTGATTAAGAAATATTGAAACTGACTTATTGACAAATACTTGATTTCCCAATACCATTTTTTGTCTGCACAGATGGAGAATCAACACCATTCCATACTAGCTGTATTTGGAAGCCAATCACCAAATGTTTTTCATGAATAGTTCAGATACAGTTCATATTTTATTTTTTTTATTACCACCCAAGATGTTGCTTTTTCTTTTTTCTTTTCTTCTTTAAGTATGTAAAATATAAGTATTTGATATGTTAGCAATGAAAAACTTAGATTTGAACAAAAAAGTAATATGATAATTGAAGAAAATTAAATTAAATCTTTATATCAGATTATATACCTACAATTAATATAAACATAAGAAGATGTGGTATGATTGCCAATGAGACAACTCTCCACAAGAGACCAAATGACACAGAAATTAACAACTATAGGTCACCGTACGGCCTTCAATGAGTAAAACCCATACCACAAAGTCAGATATAAAAGGCCCCGAAATGACAAATGTAAAACAATTCAAAAGAGAAAACTAACGGCCTGATTTATGTACAAAATAATGAACGAAAAACAAATATGATATGCAGCAACAAACGACAACCACTTAATTACAATAATTAATTATAATGAATGGAAGTTAAACATTACGATGCTGATCATGGCATGCAGCTGTTGAAAATAATCCTTCACATAAATTCCCTAAAGTTTTTCCTTTTGAGAAAAAATGAGCTGTTTCTAGCATAGTACTTCATTAAACACACTTAGTCAAGCTTGATACTGTGTCATCTCCTTTTCATACATTCACTTCATTTGAACTTTGGTGAATAGTTGTCTCATTGGCAGTCATACCACATCTCCTTATTTTTATATCAACTCTTGTTTGATTCATAAATATTTGTCATACACTTGTGGCATTCAGAGGTTTTACAGTGTATCATGATTTATACTACAGCTCGGCCTTTTGACGACTTGTAAGACAAAGCTGCAATGTGTAATAGTTTTTTGTATTTGCTTAACAAAATGTGGGTGTGCAATCTTGAGTTTTATCCAACATTTAATCCTAAAATCTCTATTTACAGAACAAAGTTTCCAAGCTGAACTGGACTCTGAGGCTCCATCATCTCAATCTTTATCTCCAATTAAATCTGTGAACAATACAATGATAAGTAGTACAGAAACATCATATGCATCTGCATTAGAATCACAGGGACCAGAAAACCAGGAACTCAACGGTGAACTGGATGCTAAAAGTGAGGACACAACTTTAACTAGCCAGGAGGGAAATGTAAGAAACCCAACTGGAAATCCAAGCCAGATTGAGGAGGAGGAGGAAGAAATGGTAAGTAGTTTTTTAAGCAAGGGTAAAGGGGCTGTTTGAGGTGAAATGAATTATAGTATGCTTAAAAAGAGCTTCTTACAGAATACTTTTTTGCAAGTCAGTCTGAAAACTGTTCACATTAAAAAAAGAAACAATATGATTGCAAATTTGTAAGATTTGACATATAGAATATTGTGAAAAGAACGTTTGATGTTTCTGAACATTCAGAAATAAAGTATAATCATGTATAGTAGATAAACCTTAATATAAATAATGGTAATCCAGTTATCCACGGCTTTATTGATAGCAATCTCCATTTGTTTAAATTATTGTTTTCTGACCTGCATTTTATATTGGGATGCTACTCTTATCAATTATTTGTTTTTATTTGTAAATTTTACATTGGCTTTTTGGAAAGGAGATAAGATTGTATAATTTTTGAATTTATTTGTTTTTATTCTTTATTTATTAATTTTGTGTGGTTGTCCTTAACAGGCGTAAAGTTTTTGTTTCATATGATGCAACATTTTGTTTTGGCTCCTTGTCAGCTCATGTATGCTAAGGATTTTAAATTGAAAATTGAGAATTAGTTAACAATTGAAAAGGAAGCATTCAAAAATTTGAAAATATGTTTCTGAAACAGGGAATAAGAAAAAAAGACATTTCCTATACTTCTGCTTGTCGTCATACATCGTGTACATCAGTTTTGCTTTATGTCAGTTGTATTGGATTTTATATTTTAATATTCTAACATTTAGTGTATGATTTATTTATCACTAAGAACTCATTTGAAAGTTTCTTTCCCTATATATTTTGGTACTACTTAATATTCCGATTTCATGTAGAAGTCATAACATGTTTTCCTTAAGTATCATTAAGAAATGTTGTAAATAACAGACAATTTTAAATCATTTTGATAAAATAATTTTTAGAAGAACAGGAGGGTGATAATTTATGAGGTAATAGCATGAACTGTATATCTACACACACAAAACACATATACTTCTCTATCTTTTTAGTTCTGTCTATTGTCATATTCACACAAAATAGATACAGTTGTATTTCCCAGCATTTTCTATTTCTAGTTTGAGTGAAAACCCCTACATTACAACTTTTCATTCAGATGATTGCATGAAACTTTTATGTTGAATATTAAATCATGCTAATATTGAATTCTTCTTTTGTGATTCACACTTTTGGAAATAATGAATAACTACATTTGACAGTGTTTTGGTATGCTTAGAATAACCAGAATTCTTGTGTAGTTTATTTGTGTACAGTTTTAATGATTGAAGATTTTACAGCATTATCTATCACCCAACATTACTGTCAAATACTAATTATACCCCCGCTTTGAAAAGGGGGGGGGTATACTGTTTTACCTCTGTCTGTCCATCCGTCAGTCCATCCGTCAGTACATCCGTCCGTCCCATGAATATTTTCGTCGCATTTTTCTCAGGAACTACTTGACAAGGATTTCTGAAATTTGGTTTCAGGGTTTATATAAGTCAGCTATACAGTGTGATGCGTTTTCAGATTCATCACTCAACAACTACCTGTTTACCGAAATATTTCGTCAGGGGTATCATCAGTGAGCAGTAGCTAACAGTTTTACTTGTTGAATCATTCCAATACTACAACAAATAGTTATAAGTATCAGTCTGTAATACAGTCATGCAATAACCTACAAAATATTTTATTTTATTTTTTTAAGAACTGTAGGGTACGCTTCATTAAATGGGTAATGGTTCCTCTCAAAGAAAGGAGAAATTACCCAAAAGTTACAAACAAAATACACTGCAAATTATGGAGTTATCTTCAAAATTTTGAAGCAAGAACGAGGCACTAGTGGCTGAGGTCATCTACGTTTTTGCTGAATCCATATGTTTCCATAAAAAAAAAACCAAATCATTCATTTGATACGAAATACAATGAAATAACCTATGAATAATTGAAATTTAATTGAGAAACCAATTTGCTATTTAATGCTTATGACTTGAAAATGTTAAAGAGACGGTAAAATATTCTCCAAATTTTTTGTTTGCAGAAATTTCATGAAAATACATTTTCAGGGATTGTAGACACACTTTAAGGGATAAAGGGTGGTATGACACAGTTTTTTTTAAATAGTTTTTTGTAATGCACGACATCCAATGCAAACAGAAATAGAACAAAATATATTCACAAATGTTTCTGTCAGAAAACCAAAACAAATTAAATGAAACATAGCTAAGTTGTAATCCAATCTTTGGAATTATTGGTAGGAAAGAAAACTTGATGGAAAGGGAGAGTACTGGAGTAAGTTCTTGACCTGTATCCTTAAAAATATGTTAAATACCTCCTGTGTGGAAAACCCCAAAATACAAATTAAAAGAAAAATGCTTGTATGTATTGCACAACATTAGGCTTTGGATTGGTGAATGATACAAGTTGATAGCAAAAGTGATTGGCTATCAAACTACAATACATAAACAATGAAACATGTATTTAGGATATGTTTAGAAATTTTACTTGACTTGAATACATTCTAATCAACCATTGACAGTGTTGGTAGTGCACATAAGCATGAAACATCTTATGAAAATGTGAAATTCTTGTTAAATATATACTATTTTATACACTTGTCTGAGAGGAAAATGTAGAAAAACAGTTGCCTTGGTCCTACCATGATAAGATATTGCAATTTATCGGCAATTTGTACATTTTCCCTTTGATCTTACTGCTTATATTTTTAAGATCATGCACAGGACTTGATACTCGAAAATAGTAGGCAATGACATCATGTTTCAGTGCAGCAACATTGTGTGCTCAAATTCTTCCACCTTAATTTATCAATAAAATGCAGGCGACTTCATTTATACAACCAAACAACTATCCCAATGTTTTGTACGTGTTTAAGTGGTTTTACTAACTATTTAATTTTACTGCCTCCTCTCAACCAAAAAACATACAGTTTCGTTTTCTGTCATTCCAGCCGTCATTCCACAACAAACCATTACACGCAATTTTTTTCTAAACGCCTTCAGACATGTCAGATATTGGGCTGATTTTTGGTATGTGAGTTAACCATAATGAGTTGCAGATCAAGTTAAAGTTTCGTTCCGCTCTGATAATTTTTTTGCTGAAATTACAGGCTTTGGACTTTGATAAATTGTTGAAAATCTCAGTTATATGGACTTTTTTTCTTAACGCCTTCAGATATTGGGCTGATTTTTGGTAGGTGAGTTAACCATGATGAGTTACAGATCATGTTTAAGTTTTGTTTCGCTCTGCTAATTTTTGCCGAAATTACGGGCTTTGGATTTTGATAAATTGTTGAAAATCACAATTATACAGACTTTTTTTCTAAACGCCTTCAGATATTGGGCTGATTTTTGGTATGTGAGTTAACCATGATGAGTTACAGATTGAGTTTAAGTTTCGTAACGCTCTGCTAATATTTGCCGAAATTACAGGTTTTGGACTTTGAAAATTGTTGAAAATCATAGTTATACAGACTTTTTTTCTATACGCCTTCAGATTAGGGCTGATTATTGATATGTTAGTCTACCATGATGAGTTACAGATCAAGTTTATGTTTTGTTCCACTATGCTGATTTTCATGTCGTTTCAACACATCTTGTTAGATTTGCAGTACATCCACTTCCTGTTTGCTGATAGTTTGAAAATGAAATACTCATTGATCAAGGAAATTTTTCATCAAACTAGTATTGGTCTTGAGAGCTGGATACTATCCATGCATGTTTGTGTCAATATTTGTTGTTGAAATTGCAGATTTTTCAAATTTTTGAGACAGGGGCATTCATGTCGTTCCGACACATCTAGTTTGATACTGACTTCATCAGTTCGAATATCAAGCAAGACCGCTAGGGCAGCTCATATTCTTGATGATAAAGTCAGTTTCTAAAACAAAAATGCTATTATTCTATATATATCATACAGTCAACATATATATTATCAAACTCTAGGGAATATTATCACTTATAGGCAGTACAGACATTCAGATTACACTTGTTCAGACGTAAGTCACATGTTCACATTTGTTTGTTCAGTTTCTTATTGTTTTATCTGTGAAGAATTAGGTATTACTATTCTAAAAGAGATGACATGAACAATTGTAAAGAGTTAATAGGGGTTTCTTAAGTATCAGCTGTGAAGGGTCACTTGTATTTGATGTTCACAATCATTTGGATATGTTATTTTGATTCTTCCTGAATATTATTATTAGCCTCTGGATATTAATCAAACAATTATCAATCAATATTTCCATAGTTTTTAAACAGGATGGTGGATTTTCATTTCTTTTTTTCTCCCGGGTTTTTATTCTTTCTGCATTGTTTCATGAGACATGACTTTTTCTGGTATCAAAATAGGCTGAAGCACGTAGTCTTTAAGTAAACTTTTTAATTGATTATATAATTGAATTACAATATATCAATGTAGAAATGAGACAAAGTGAACCAGATATTGATTATGAAACAAGTTGAGAAAACAAAGTCTTAGTTATTTGTAATATTGGACGTTCATTTACAGAATTAACTGTTTATCATATAATTTCCATAGATTTAATTAAAATACTTTGACAGGGTAATAATTACTATCATTTACTGTGTACACATAACATGTGTAATCTACTTCTAAATTGATAGGAAGAAAAAACAGACGTATTAGAGGTATATTATATGAACACCTTACTCCATGCTTCTGTTCTGTTTCAAGTGTTCTTTTCTTATTGTCTATGTTTCAAGTTATCCATCTGGATCTATTTGAGCACTTCTCACCAATGGTTGATTCTTGCTGTAAGCCAATCGGAACTTATTCTATCTGTCCAAAGTATGTCTATCTTCACTCATCTTTTAACAAGGAATGAAAAATCTTTTTTTTTCTTGCCAGCTGAAATGATCCTTTGTTAGCTGTCATGTTTTGGATTGATCATCAGTCTGTTTGTCTAAAGCACTGATGAAACTGTTGCTTCTTGCTGATTTAATATCATTGACAATTTAGTGTTTTTAATCAGGAGAGTTATCATTCATGCAAGCAGTGAAAGAAAAAATGGCAGATTCCAGTGTTGTGAATTTGAAGAAAACATTCATTCATATTCATATCCGTGAAGAAATAAGTTTGTGAAACTGAAAGGAGTGGAACACAAGGGGTTCACGAAATTCACCTATTGCAGTACCTCTGTTGCAAAAAGTTCTAATTCTCAATTTGAGTTTGACAATGAATACATATATCTTTTGTCATGACTATATGTGTTGCTAAAAACATGAAAATGATGGTTGTTAAAAGTTGAAATGACGATTTTGTGCGAAAATTAGGTGACTGTTGACAGGGTTAGACAGGTGACTGTAGAAAAGAGTTAAACTAAACTATATAGAGAAAAATGTATAGGAGGGTCTGATATTCAGTCATTCCCAAGGTTGCCAGACATTGGGCAAAGTCCAGTAAAAATTGGTTTGGTCCAGTTAAGTGATATGCATTACTGGACCAAATGACCAGTAAATTTAGATTTTGTCCAAATCATATGTGTTAATGTCCTGTAAAAAAGACTCTGGTCCAGTTAAGAAGAATGGTTTACTGGGACCAAATGTCCAGTTTATTTCTCAAGCCTTGTGAACCACTGCTGATATTGATTGTTAGAGTCTGGTCACCGCTGAAATGAGGTGACTGTTTATACAGGTATGACTGTACCAAATAAAAAAGAAGCAACCTTTTTGTAAAAAAATCATATTATTTAAGGGGAGTTTGGTTAAAGTGTATATCCCCTACAACAGATATTGCTTTTAAATGGCTTCAAAAGTAGAACTACAAATTAAAGTAGTTGCTTTCACTGGTACTGGTACTGTTAATTGACATGTAATCCCTGTGGTATTAAACTGTTTTTTTGTGAATGCATGCACTATTGTCACCCAGTTCATATCGAGTGTATGTGGATGCTTTGTAAGCTTTAGGAATGGTGGAATTGAAATGAATTGAATTATTTATTTGTAAGTCAAATTTCTTTTCAAAGGTTGATAAAACAAATATAGCTTTCTGACCAATTAAGTATTGGACACAATTACGGGAAATCCTAATTGAAATATTTATTGTATACTTGAATCAGGTTTTTTCCTGACGCAGTGTATCAACAGTATGCATGTGTTAATCTGTTCTTTTGTTTGAAGCCTGTGAAAACATTCCTTTGTGTTGAGAATATTATGATATGTATACATAATCAATTCAGATAATTTAAGCATGACAGCATATGTAATTAGAAGTAACTTCAGCTCCAGCATGCATTGAATTTAAGTTAATATTTACAGCAAATTATAGAGGACTAGATGATGAGATAATAATTAGATTTATAACTTTGAAAATTTAAATACAACTATAACACATTTTTGTTTAGGGGCTAGCTGAAGCCCGCCTCTGGGTGCGATATTTTCTCGCTGTGTTGAAGACCCATTGGTGGCCTTGGGCTGTTTTTTGCTCTTTGGTCGGATTGTTGTCTCTTTGACACATTCCCTGTCTCCATTCTCAATTTTATCAAAGAAAGGTTTGTTAGTACAGGTACATTTAAACAATCACATTAAATGTAACGCTTTTGTGTACCACCAAAATTGATTGAATTTGAGTAATGAATTATTTTTTATTTATAACTTGGACATTTAAATTGTAACCAAGGCTTCTTGTCAAATATAATTCTTATTAAGATACAAAGATATTAGATATCATGTTTTTAAACCAACAACAATGAATGATATTTTAAATACTTGAGAATTTGTTATTTAGAATTTGGACATTTAAATTGTCACCCCATGTCAAATAGAAATTTCTGTAAGATAAAGAAATGTTATAGTTCTCACCTTTATGGCTAATTCTATTGAATTTATACTGAAGTATCTGATAATTTTCATAAGAATAGACATTTTTATTAAAAAGAACAGTTTGATAATCATAGCATGTTTAAGTGGATAAGATAGAGGCTAAAACTGATGCTTATTTGTAGAACAACATATTACTATTGAGTGCAATTCTATGGATATCTTTTCTTTAAATCAAAATCAAGGGGAAGGATTTTTTTCTTACTATAATAGAATTCAATGTTAGCTACATGCACATTTATTCAACTTATTTGAGCATCAGAATGTTTGCCTCAATTTTTAGAAGGCAATCTATCTTTACTTATCAAGGTCCATAGATCAATTACATGAATTAGGAGATTAATGTTATGATAGCCAATGAGAAAACCAATCACTATTGTCCAACTGTCGTGGATGTAAGGATTTATAGGTCACCCCTAGCCTATAACAAGAAGCAAAACCAATACAGTATAGTCAACTATAAAATGCCTTGACATGTCAAAATGTAAAACATAATATTTTATGTAAATAAATGTAAATGCATTGGAGTTTAGTATGACGTCCATTTTCACTGAACTAGTACACATTTTTATTTAGGGGCCAGCTGAGAACCACCTCCGCGTGCGGGATTTTCTCGTTGCGTTGAAGACCCATTGGTTGCCTTCAGCTGTTATCTGCTCTTTGGTCGGGTTGTTGTCTCTTTGACAAATTCCCCATTTCCATTCTCAATTTCATTTATTTATAAATGTATAAAAAATGTGTTTTTTAAAATATCTTTAACTAAGAGACTGTAAGAATTAAGCAGATGAAACATTACAGCATGCCCACTGTTGTTTTTAAAAGTGAACTATCATAAAACATAAAAAAGATTAAACAGTACACACCAACATCCCACAATATAACCCAGCAGAGTAATTTTTTTTACAATCTCATACTCCCATAGTTTGTTGTGACTGTTTAAACATGAACTATGATATCTTAACATCTAATTCGTGTAGTTTGCTGTATATTTATTTTATAGATTAACATTGAGATCTAACAAACTGTTTTGTATTTTATTTACAGCTTTAGTGAGGTAACATTAGCTTCATTGGTTGTGGGTAAAAATGATAATACAACTAGCTGTTGACATGGTAATACTGTCATGTGACAAATCATGTGACATTAAATACTGGTGACCTGAAATGATGTGACATGACATACTTACATGTGTCAGGGGCAAACAAACACTTTGATAAGTCAGGTGACCTAAACAGCTAACTTGTGAGGCGTGAGGTGATATGAAATGCTTACACGTGATGAAGCAGGTGACTGACACACCTGCATGTGATAAGTGAAGGGACATTTGATAAGACAACCAGTTAACAGTTTTTTTCTTAATTTTCTACCAATAAGCAATCCTTCTTTTACATTACATCAAGTCTGTTTTATACAAGCTCCAAACTTCCTCTAGCAATGGACTGAGTTCATTTTTTTCATTCTTTATGAAGTCACAACCTGCAATTTGAAAGTTAGTATAAACTGTAAATATTGTTGAAGGGCAAACCATCTGGATAAACAAAAGTAACAAGCATTGATTTCTCAGTTACAATTTGGTATGATTTGATTATTAGTGCTCATTTTTTCAAAAATTTATACTAATCACAAGTTCAAAAAAATCAACAATTATAGTTAAATGCATATGTTTTGTTTATTCAGTAACTGTGAGAGTATTAAAGTCACAGCTAGTTGTAACCATGACAACCAAGTTATGGATATTTTAACAGCTAGTTGTAATTCTATTAATGTAGTTATTTGCCAGTTGTAACCACTAACAACCACATGTTTAGTAACCATAACAATTAAAATATTATTCCAGATGTTGTTATCAATGGATATTTTCCAATGAAACCCCCAACATTTCTGTTGTAAGGCCTTCAAATGTTCTTAAACAACTTATCTTTGTTAACCTTGACTCTTAAGGGACCAAATGAGTTACTGTGTATTGGGTCTGTATTGTTAGTTTATTTTTTATTTGATTGTATTTTTTTCATGATGTCAGTGATGTGTTTCATTGTTGTTTTTCTTATTCTTTTTTTAGATTTTATTACAGTGTTATATATGCTTTATTATAAAATAGAATGGCTAGATACCATATGAACATTGTTAAGATAAGAAATATCTGATTTTTACTTCTATAGTTTGTTGTGCTCCATGTGGTTGTCTTCTTTAACCCCATCATCAATTTCAAAAGGTGACATGTACTCTGATTTCATTAGGAAAGTTTGTATCTTTTTTAATTAATACATAATTAATCAAGGTCATCTTGTGTTTTGTTTACTGAAACATGTTACACTCAGCACAAACCTTTCAGGGGACATATGGTCTCATATGATGGTTCAATTGTTGAAATATAAATGAACCTAGGAGGAAGAAGTGAATAGGGAGTATTTAGGTCACCCTGCTCCTTCAGTATGTCAATACGTATGTACAGAAACTACAGTTTGCCTCAACCAGATGTTATGAAACTTATACACAATGCTTATTATGACCAAAGACAGGTCAAGTTTTTTTTATTGCTTCACTCCCACTGTTCTCGAGTTATGTACCTTTTTTTAATGGGAACATTGCTTAATGTCTCATTTCTGTGCTCAAAACTTTACTATGCATCAATCAAATGTTATTAAACTTATGAACAATGAATATTACCACCAAACACAGATCAAGTTTGAATTTGGGTGGTGTCACTTTCACCGTTCTTGTGTTATGCCCTTTAAAAATAGAAAATTGCCAAATTTGCAGTTTTGCACACTTAACCTACAGATTCAAATGTCATTAAATTTTAAACATCAATAGGTTTGAATTTGTACACTGACTCTTGCATATATGCAAGTGAGGGCATCTGTATCACAGGGACACGTTCTTTTTTAATCTTATATTCATGATATTTGTTAATAAAAATCAGCAAAGAAACCAGGCTAATAATTTTGTTTGCCAGACACATGTTTCATCTATATGAGACTCATCAGTGAGGCTCTAATCAGAAATGCAGTTGGGAGGCCAAATCAAATACACGGTTGAAGAGCATTTAAAAAATATTCCAATAGTTACTGATAAATACTCTGCAAAAGCAAACAAGACTGCATTTGTTTGCACCTATCTTAAGTCAGGAATCTGATGTTTAGTGGTTGTTGTTTGTTGATGTGGTTCACGAGTGTTTCTCATTTCTTGTTTTTTATATAGATTAGACCGTTGGTTTTCCTGTTTGAATGGTTTTACACATCATTTTGGGGGCCCTTTATAGCATGCTGTTTGGTGTGAGCCAAGGCTCCATGTTGAAGGCCGTACTTTGACCTATAATGGTTTACTTTTACAAATTGTGACTTGGATAGAGAGTTGTCTCATTGGCACTCATACCGAATCTTCTTATATCTAAGAACTAGGGAATGCATTCTGCTTTTCGAGTTTAAGCTTGTTTTATTAGATGTAACATAGAACAATTTCATCAAACTGTTACAACTTCATGTTTGCTTAAAGTTATTATATTCCTAAAGTGAAAAGTAGCCTTTTGATACTAGTATACTAATACATTTTACAAATATAGTTAGCATGTACCACATATAGCCAATTTTAATAATTATCTTATACTATAACAATTTTATTCTTTTTTGGTGTTGCTAGGGATCAGAATGAAATATTTTTTTAGATTAAAGTATACAAATATAAAACTCTTGTGGCATCAATTCCCCATTATATTTTGTTAGAATTTTATGCATCCTTATGATATGAATTTTAAAAAGTTTGTATAGTTATAAAACACAAACATGAAAATGTCATTTGGTCTGTGTTGGAAAGGTGTCTTATTGGCAATCATACCACATATTTTTATTAATATATGTGACAATTCATTATATGTTCATCTTTTATTTCCTCCAATATTCAGACTTAATTTAGAAAATAACACTGTAAAATAGGTATGCGTTTGTAATTTAGTTTTGTCCTTTAACTTACATCATTCCTCATGATGTGGTATTTTTCAATTGAAGAACTATTTTAATAAAGCAATCATTTCTTTCAAATATTTAGCCAGCACTCACTTAAAAATGACAATATCTTCTATTCAACTGAAGTGAACAAAGGTTTCAATTTGTTGGTGTTCAATACTGTCCAAGATGCCCAATTTTAAGTATTATATCAACATTTTCTGTAAGAGACATCATGTAGTTTGATGAGGTTGAGAAGATAATGTTTTATTATATATTATGGAAGGGGTCACAATGATTGTAAATTGTTGCTGATAACAATATAGTTTTGATGTTGAAATATATAATGTTTTTTAATAGTACAAATATATGTAGATGCTATTTTTATAATGATGTTTAATACATTTTTCTCTCTTTTACAGACACATTTGTAGCATAAGGAAAACTTCCAAATGTAGAGACTGTGATTGAAATATTCCCATGATGCAATACAACAGACTCATCCATTGATCATCCACTTCCTGTTATCCCATAATTCATCTCTGTGAATAGAACATCCCAAGAAGGAACAAATTTATTATTATTTATTTATTTTTACTGTCAGTAATACTGGTATTTTAGATCAATTTTATTAGGTCATATATTTATTTTACATACAGTCATTGTCTCACTGTGTATTGCAAATAATCATTTTGAAAACAGAAGGAGAGATTGAACATATATAGAACAACTTGTCAAAACATTCCTTATATGAAACTTTTGTAGTCATTTTATGCTTTTAATGACTTTACTGAAGGAAGGAGTTTTTCAAATGTACAACTTTCTTATGAAAGAGATGAATGTGTACAAAGACATTAATATAAAATAGAAATAGTGCATATTCATGTTTGATATAAAGAAAATTCAGCTAATATCAGTATTTTGGAAGTTGCATTACTTACATGTTCTTTCCAACCAGATGTTAATTAGCATTTCAATATCTTATATAAGTGACTAAGAAATGATAGGTAGACAAATTTCCCTTCAGTATTCATTAAAAATCTTAAAAAAAACCAAAAAAAATCTTTAACAGTAGTTACAGATTCATAACAGGGCTTGATACGAGATTATGTTGGCTGCTAAATAAGAAAACCCTTCTGTACCTGAGGATCCCTAAAGGAAATTTACCTTCTTATGAAACTAAAATAACCTGTATAAGGTAAACCAGCCCTGATAAAAGTGTAGTAACCTGTGTAAGACAACCACATTTTAATATAAAAGTGTAGTAACCTGTGTAAGGTAACCACTAATAAATAAATGGTGGTACCCTGTGTATGATAAACAACTTAGAAAGAAAATAACTTGTTTTAAGATAAATGATATCTGCTAAAAGACGGGTAACCCATATATGTTGAAAACTTCAGGTAAAGGAGAGATTGCCTGTATAAGATAACTTCTGATGGAAGGAAGTAGCTCCTATTCAGTAAAACATATTGATGTGAAAAGTGAGGTACCCTGTGTTTGGTTAATAGTGTTGCATGAGCAAAGTTCATGTATATCATGTAATAAGGATATTAATTTTAAATGAAAGAAATAATTCTGAAGCTTAAACATATTATTAAATGGATAATAAGATCTGAATTCATTAAATATCTTATTAGTTAATCAGGCCCATTTTATCAACTTTCGATTTTGTGTATCTTTGAAAACAAACGTATTTTATGTTAATACATTGTTAATAGGAGGAGAACAAACAACCCAATCTTTGCATTTAAAATAATGCCACTGATACACTTGCTATGAATTGTTCCCTTTTAACAAACAACAAAACAAATAGCTAGTACAGTGTAGTGGTGTATCACTTGATTTTTCAGGAATTTCTTTAAAAGCCAACACTACAGTGTATATTCACTTATTATGAATGTTATCATCATTACTAGGTAACAGTTATCATGTGAATATTATGTTATAGAATATGTAGGATCAAATAATTATAATGTCACATAATTGATCTATTAAACTGAACTTTTAACTATTCAAATAATCACATGATAGTCATGTGTTTGATATGAAAGTGTAGACAACTATTGTAAATTAAATCATTGTAAAAATTAAACTATTTTCTTACATGACATTTGTTTTTTTTACTTTGTACAAGTTTAGACATCTGAAAGTTTTAGTACGTAAGCAAACGCTATGATACACTGGACTTTCTTTAGCATGTTTAGTGAGATTTGGTTTGTTGCAGAATGCAAGACATAGAGATAACAATCCGGTGGCAGTGGTGGGATAAACTATTTGATTTAAGCTTTATATATCAGAAAGAAGAAGACCTGGATGCTTGATACCTTGTATATACATACAAAGTTATGAAGTTTCCGTCTGTCATATGCCCGTTGTCCTATACTTCATTTTCTTGGTTCAGGAACTGCTTGAAATTGTTTTTTTCAGTGTACTCATGAGTAATAGGATAACTATATTTGATATATGGGTGACTTGCAACATCTGCATGTCATGTAGGTAGGGTTCACCTGACCAGGACCTCATTTCATGGATCAGTATCTCATAAACTAAGAATTAGATCAACTATATTTGGTGTATAGAATGATAGTAAGGTGTAAATTTCATTTGACCTTGACCTCAATTTCATGGTTCATTGGACAATGATTATTGTTTTTGGTTTGGTCTATTCCTCAGATACTATAAACAATATGGCCACTTTATTTGATGTATGGAATAGTAAGATGTCCATATCAATCTGGCGTGTTTCATTTGACTTGACCTCATTTTTAAGCAGTTAAGCTGCTTTATGCGAGCACCCTAGATTTGTGTTCTACCCAATAAATGCTGAAATATGTGCCATTGTTATTATCTGGCTGGCTATTATGTTATTCATAACTAATTGAACACTTTTTTCATACTTTTAATTCTGGAATACAAAAAATATGACCAGAAAAACCTTAAATGATCGTCGAACCACCCAAAAGTTTTGAAGTTGCACATAGGAAGTAGTGCTCAATAGAAATCCTTATGTAGTTTATTATCCCCTGTGCTTTTGGCCAAGATGTCAAAGAACAATTGCATGAATTATTTCATCGCCGAAAATCTCTAATTACAAGTCGTTTACTGTTGCCAAATGGCACAAAGCGCAGGAATATTGTATAACGGCTGTGACTAATATGACAAGGAGTTGAAGTCTCAGTTAGCGGTAATTTTAACTTCGTCGACAAAACGTAAATCAAGGACGTTTTAAATTTGGTGATTTCTGATAATAATCATTTTGTTCAACCGTTAGCTTTATACCGAAAATCGCCAACATGTTATGTGTAAATCCGAGTAAATCGTATCTGACTGACAAAAACAACATTGAAAAACAATGGATGCCATAAACCGGAAATGAAGACAATTATAATACCGGATCTAATTCCGGGGGCGGATAAGGGTAATTCCGGGTTTGCCGATCAAATACAATAAAAATATAATAATTCCAGGCATGAGACAAAATACATCTATCATGATGAAAGATAAACTCTAGAATTGAAAACCAAAGATATATTGAAAAGAAAGAAAAGGCAGGAAATATTTTATACAGAAACTCAAAATTACTTTTAGTTCACAAATTTTCATGTCAAAAACCAATAAAATGTGACAGTATTTTCCTTATCATTAATAAATATTGATATTACATGTAGATGTTTTTATTGTTTAAACATATTACTACAATTCCATGAGGTAATTTCTTCTCAATTTTGAAGGGCCTATAAAAATCTGGAAGTTTCTTACTTTATTTTCACAGAGGAACTAGCTAATATAATATATAGTGCAACTAAATATGATACACTTAAACAGTTTTGAATTTGAACTGTTTAATATAATGGTATAATTAGTAATAAATAATCAATTGTTGAGACAACACACCCACCCACAGGGATACCCTCAGCCTCCCTCAGCCTTCCTAATACAAAAAAAAAAGATTATTTGAATTCATAAATTAATATACAAGACAATTACATTTATTATTAAACATGTTAAACGACAGTGACACTGACAATGAAACAAGCTAACTTAACACCAAAAGCACATTAAAGTATCTTACTGAGTTATGAACTATTTCAAGTAAAAGCAGGACCTGGAATTTAGGTTGTGGACCTTTCAGTTTGGAGTGTCAAAGGTCCTGGACTGTCCAGTACCAAATGTTAATTTTAACCCCTGCATTCACAGTACAGCGATTTTGAAGTGTATTGCAATTCCAAGTAGAATTTACTTTTGGACATTAAACGTTTCGAATGCGTATTAAACTAATTCAAATCAGTTAATAATGTGAATCGAATTCGAATTATGTGTGAACGCAGCATTGATATATCTAAGAAATGAAGAATATTAAAAAAAGATGGACAAAATATTTGTATTAAATTTGTTGCAATTTTTGTCTTGCCTTGACAGAGTCAAAAAGTGAGACATATATATATATATAGGCATGCTGTTTTGGCGGAATCAACAATGTATTAGTTTGTGATTTTGTGATAAGGTCTGGTTTCTGGTAGGTCAATGACATTTTGTAAGTAGTTGTGTTAGCATAGGCAGATCTCATTACCATAGAGAATATTTGGCCCCACCCCCTTAGTCATGGTCTATTGACTTTGAAACTTTGCATAGTTTACATGTATATGTTTGTGGTTAGGTCAGTTTAGTGGGAACCACTAGTGGTAGGTCAATGATATTTGGTGTGCAGTTGTATAAACTTTTTCATTTCTAATTTCCATTGAGATTATTTGGCCCCGCCCCCTCAATCATGCTCTTTTTACTTGAAAATTTTGTTACTTTGAAATTTCATTTATTAGTTTTCGATTAGGTTAGTATTAGGGAAACCAATAGTGGTAGGTCAATGATAATTGGCATGTAGGTGTAGAAGCATTAGTACGTCTCATTTCCATAGAGGATATTTGGTCCTCACCCCTCAGTCATATGCATGATCTATTGACTTTGAAACTTTTACATAGTTTACATGAATGAGTTTGTGATTATTATGATTATGTCAGTTTCAAATTACCAGTAATCTTAAGTCAAAGCTATTTGGTATGCGAACGTATTGGTATTCAAAAGTTCCATTTCCATGGATATTATATAACCTCACCCCCTCATTATGGTTTATTGACTTAGAAATTGAATTTGTGTTAAGGTTTGTTTAAAGGGAACGACTTATGAAAAGTCAATGGTATTTGGTTTGCAGTTGAACAAGCATTGGCACCTTTCATTTCCATAGAGATTGTTTAGCCTTGTACCTTCAGTCATGGTTCATTGACTTTGAATATCACTTACATGTTAAAGTATTACTATTTTAAGTGTAACATTTGCATTATCAAAATAACAAATATGCAAAACATTACGTTGTGTTAATAGCTTATTATAGATTAGACATGTGTAATTATTATAAAAATAAGGAGATGTGGTATGATTGCCAATGAGACAACTATCCACCAAAATTCAAATGAAGTGGATGTAAGCAATTACAAGCAACCGTACAGCCTTCAAAAATATATGTTGCATCATTGCTAGGCCATTATAACAACATCAGCATTTCTTGTAATACTAGTATACAAGAAAATTACACCATTTCAGATAGTTTCAGGTATGATTTGATAATTGTGCATAGTGGCACCAGCTGATCCAACTAAAAGCGCTAATATGGCATATTCAAACTCTAGTACATAGTGGAATTAAACCATACACCACTGTTGGACACCATAATTGAAATTATTATTCTGAAAAGAATATTCCTCCATGCAGCCTGCAACAATTAGCAAAACCTATACTGCATAGTAAGATATAAACGACCACGAAATAACAAATGTAAAACAATAAAACTAAAGCAGCCTGATTTATGTACAAAACAATTATGAAAAATAAATATGATATACAGCAACAATCAACAATCACCAAATTACTGGGTCTTCACTAAGGACAGGTACATACAGAATGTGGCGGGTTAAACATGTTAGCTGGCACAAAACTCTCCCCTAACATGGGACAGTGTATGTGCATAATCTCAGACATTAAATCTTTAAAAAATGAATTGGAAATAACTTTTGAAAGTGGTAGGATTGGATAGCAGAAACATTACGGTACAAACATTATTTGATACTTGAGAAATAGCTGAGATGTATAGATTCTACCACTGCATCGAGTGTGATACGATATTTATCCACTCGAGACAGTTAAATTTTCAAATTTAAAACGCGAGGCTCGCCGAGCGTTTTAAATATTTAAAATTTAACTGTCGAGAGTGGATAAATATCGTATTACACGAGATTTGGTGGTGGAATCTGTTTCTCTAATGATTTTCAAACAATATGCAGGCAAACTTATTCCGTCTTTTCGAATGATCTGTAAAAAGATGTGTTCTTTCTATGTGACGTCATCAGGCATGGTCGCCTTTTTTCATGCCGTCACAATAGGAAATTCAGAGGAAAGCAAGTAAATTCGACGTCATAATCGGATTTTAACCAATGAGATCAACTGAGATCAAACGAACCACACGTTGATTAAATTTTTTTTATACAATGGGTGCAGAAAGGGATAAATTGACGAAGAATTAGAGAAAAATATTTGCATCCATTCTTCCACTATATTCATCTTAACTTCTGCCAAGTTTACCTTTGATTTTTTTAATTAACTGCCTATAGCGCCTTTGAAGCTTTGATTATGGTTGTTCTTTCTCGGATTCAATAAGCAATAAGGTTCATCTGTTGAATTCATTTTCATAGAGCATTGATTATGTCATCTATACTACTTAAGTACTGAGGTCCAATTTGTTAGCTGGCATGATGTAAAAACGATGTTAAAGAATATAACTTTATATATTACTAATATAGGATAACGGTATTTTTATACGCCCGTAAAAATTTTGACGGGACGTATTATGGTATACAAATGTCCGTCTGTCTGTCTGTCCGGCGTAAACATTTGGTACCGTAACTTGAGAACGACATCCAAATTTCATGAAACTTAACATAGTTGTTTCTTATGATAGTCAAACGATCTGTATACTTTTTGGTGAAAATAAGATTAAAACTTTTTGAGTTACGGGACTTAGTAACTAAAACAGGTGTGTGTTTTTTTCACATGTCGCGCT